CTGAGTATATCTTGATGCAGCAAAGGGCATTTGGTACACCTTGAAGAACTAAAAGAATGGCTCTTTTAAACACTTGCACTGTTTCTAGGGAACCCCAAATCTTGGAATGCACCTACTACACTACAGCTGAATCACAGTTCTGAAATAATTTCCTACTAAACAGAAAATCTTGAAGTTGTCTTAAAGATACTATCATGCAAATGTTCTATCAGGTGCCGGAAATATGAAAGTCAACCCAAATTTTCTCCTGCTCTGTTAGATGCCTCTTGATCAGCCATCTGTGCTTCTTTGATTATTTGAAATAAGACCGGCCTCATTTCCTGATACTAATTTTCAATTCCTTGTCAGCACAGTAGAAAACACAAAATGTTTTCCTCATATCCCGCTGGCATGACAGGATCTCATGTACATAAAGTAGCACAGAAAGATGCTTTCTAGCTGACTTAGACAGATAGAAAGGCTCAGAAGACTACACCTTAATGTAAAGGTGAAACCCCAAAGTCACCAAAATATATCCCTGTTTAATCTCTGTCAAGAGTAATTTCAGGGCAAATAGAAAGGCTAAGTGGTAGCATCTTATTTACAAGAAGGTGGTTTAGCATAATCGTTGTATTAGCTCTAGATATTGATCCATGGAGGAGTCCTCTATATTTATATAATTGATTAACGGATCAAAAGAGCTATCAAGTTGCAAGCATCACTTTTTGTAGCCCATGCCATTCTAATACATCAGTCAAACCCGTTTCTCTAAAAACTGGTGCCTAGCTATACTCATTCTGACTGAGCAAAAGGAACTGAGAATGAGTCAGCAAGTGTTGCTGATCTTCTAAGCATGATCAGCAAATTGTATGGTGTTTTGTCAGTACTAGAAAGTGTTGAAATAAATTGAACATCTAGCTGACAATCAAGGGAGATTTAGGGCAGATCAAGGCAATTTAATAAATCAGTGCTTTGTTTTCTATCATTGATAGAAATATGTATCATTGATAAAAAAGACATATTTCTAAACTCTAAAGCAGTGGTTCTCAACCTGTGGGTCGGGACCCCATTTGGGGTCAAACGACCATTTCACGGGGGTCACCAAACAAGGCTGTCCGCCATTTTTCCCCCTTTTCTTTGGCCACGCCCCTGGCACCCGGTGATGTATAAGTGGTTGGGGGTCACCACAACATGGGGAACTGTATTATGGGGTTGCAGCATTAGGAAGGTTGAGAACCACTGCTCTAAAGGATACTTTGTGCAGTCTTTATTGATAGGCAGGCAATTTATTCTGAGGAATACATTTTGGGAGATTCAGTCAAGGTAAAAGGAAATACTCTTCATGCAATCCCTTTTATGCAGCATGTAATAATGCCCATCAATTTAAGCCAATTTTAGAAGGGAAAAAGATTATTTTATGGAGGACAAGGATATTAATTGCTGATAATCATGATAGGTTCAACAGTAACAATTGCTAAAGAGCGTGGGTGGAATACTCGGCAGAATTTACCTCAGGTTGCAACAACCAACCTCAGATTTGTTTTTTATGAGCAGAACATTCAAAACTACCAATACCTGAAATGCCCAATCATAATTAAATTTCTTTTTTTTTTTAACTCTAGCAAGACATCATCCTTGGTCCAGGAGTTACAGGCAGCTCTGACTCCCTTATTAAAATTAAAAGTTTCCCTATTAGTCGTGTCTGAATCTAGGGGCACAGGTCTCATCTTCGCTTCTTGGCCAAGGGAGCCAGCATTGTCCGAAGACAATTTAGATGGTCATATGGCCAGCATGGCTATACACCAAAGGTGCATGGAACACTTATACCTTCCCATGAAGTGATACCTATTTATCTACTTGCCTTTGCATGCTTTCAAACTGCTAGGTGGGCAGGACCTGGGGCAAGTAACAGGAGCTCTCCCCATTGCGCAGAGCTCAGGTCTCAGGCTGTCAGCTCTCCAATTGACAAGCTCAATGTCTTTAACCACTGATCCCTCGTCCCTCCTCTATTAGTGACTCCTAAATTCCCTCTGACTACATAGCTGAGAACAGTTGGTTCCACCTATGTGTCTTCTCATCACTATTCTGCCTCCTTGCAGTTGAACAAAAGTAAAAATAAACAAAACATTTAAAAAGTGTGAGCGCTGCTCTGCCACAGAGAAATCTTTTGAATTCTATTGGCATCAGTAGGAGTAATGTATATTCAGCTTGCAGGCAAGAAGGCAGGGACTCAGCCCTTTTCTCTCTGGATATGCCTTTTATGATTTTGCACAATCAGTGTAGTAATTGTCCTTGTAGCAATTATGATCTGTTCAGTAAAACTACATTTTTTCATTATCTTGCTTCCTCTTATCACCACACACCTTGTGCTCACCACCTTATTTGTCCTTGCAGCTGGTACAACTGGATGATTTATCACGTTCTCACATTCTTTCCCAGGAATATCTTGTGAGATATGAGAAAAACAGGCAATCCAGCACATATACCAATACATAGATCAAAATGGCTTCGCTTAAACAAAAGATGGTTTCCTTCACAAAAAGTTTTACACTTGTGACCTTTGCTCAAGTCAGGTGTGTCAGAGGACCAAAGCATATAAGTATATAAGGAAGACTCCCCGATTAATTGACATGCTTTGGGCAACTTCCTGTTCACTTACCTTTTTACTGACATTTAACCTATTGATTAGCACGTTGAGAAATCCAGTTATATTCTCAGGTGGGAGCATGCAAGCAAAGATATTCCTCCAAAGGTAACTCATCAGCAGGAGGAAACGATGATGATTGGCAAGATTAATGCTCTTTCAGTCACTATGACCAATTTCTGTAAGAGGATTGCCTCATGGTGAAACTGGAAAAAAAAACTAGCTGATTCATTTCCACTTTTCCTTCCTTGGCGAAATCCAGGCAACATGATAAAAGCCAAAATGACTGGATTTAATCTGAGGCATAGCCAAGCTTTGCACCTAATATGTTCCTAATCCCAGTCTGACATTGTAGGAGGACATTCGTGTTAGTCTTTGGTGGCAAGAATCTAGTAGTCTCAACAGTGCTTCTACCCCCCAAAAGGCAACTGGACTGTTTTCTTCCTTGAGGAAGAAGAACAAAACATTTTGTTCTTAACATCCAAGAAGATTCATCTAGGAATCTGGTAGCATCTTTTCCAATTATGAAATTTTATCAAATGATGCAAGGCTGTATGGTCCCTGTCGGAACACTGCCATTCCAAGGGGAGAGGGACTTTTACTTGGGGATTTAAGAATTCACTGCTTTCACTTTGATATATCTGTATGGGAAATAGGGAGGGGGGAATGGGCCATCATGGCCATCTGGATAGACTTCTTTCTGGCTAGTTTCAGCCTGGTACCAAGGTTGTGGTGCCAAGAAGACAACTTGTTATCACCTTCTTGCCTCAGAGTTCCCATAATACCTTCACACCAGCAGATTGGCTCCTGATGGACTGGGGCATTGGGGTGGGGTTTGAACAAGGGGAAATTAGCCTAATGATTCATGTGGGAACTTCAGATTCTGCCTGGCTTCTCGGCAATCACTTTCTCTCAGTAAAGGTTCTTTTTGAAATAACACTTGTTTCAAGAGTCATGCTTTTTTGAGAAGATAGCTGAGGCAGGACCTTGCACAAGGCATAGATCCAGCTTTCAGATCTCTACATCTACCTCCCACTAAGAGTGGTTGCTGTCTTTCAACAAAGAAAAACATGTATTCTTCCCACATATATTATGCCCAACTCTGTAACAGCCAGATGAACATGCTGCTATTAGCACTCTATGGAGGCATATAGATGACCCATCCAAAAATAGCTGAACCAAAATCTTGAACTGGAAATAGACTGGAAGATGGAAGCAAAATCAAAATTAAATTTTGACACAATAGAGTAGCTAATCTGGTCTGTGGTTTGTCTATTTAAGGTGGAGAGATCAGCCCTCTTCTTCTCCTCTCAGAAGAATTGGCTTCATGGGTTGGGATTGTTCCTGATACCAGCTTTGTCCAAGACTAATTGACATATGCAGAATAAGCTCCAGTGCAGTGTTTCTCATCCTCAGCAACTTTTAAGATGTGTGGACTTCAATTCCCAGAATTCCTCAGTGCGCCATAAACACTGCTCTAGCATTGCTAGCTGAAGCTGCTGCATCAGCTGCCTTCTTCTTAAATCAGCCGGCAGATAAAATCATGCTTTTTTGATGTCCAGAATTGATTGGTATATTGCAGGATATGCTATCTTTGGAAGCAACTTAGAAATTGTATTTGCTAAACTATTGATTGGCTCTTGGACATGATCCTGATATTCTAAAGGGAAGTTCATACTGCAAGGGTGACCCAAAAATTTGAGCAGGGAATGCTGGGAATTGTAGTTCAACATTTCTGAACAGCACTCAGGAGAGGCTGCTGAGATTTTTTTTTACATTTTTCGTGTTCCACATTTGACATTGCTTCGCTATTAATTTGATGTTGCTGTTATTAGTGTTGTTATATACATTTCCAACCACATGTTTGGCCCTGAAATACCTCAGATGAAATGAACTTTAACTTAAACAGTATATCCCAAATTTAGTCTAGAACCTTGGTAAGCTCTGTTCTTATTTTATGCCCAGAATCACCCTCATCTGGCAATCTCCATTCTTGATGGGACTGAGAAAACTTCCACTATTTTGATCAATCTCTCTGGGTTTGGGGTTACAGAAAATGACATGCCAGACAAATGAAATAACTGACAAAAGCAAGAAAGTAGCTGTGCAGGTCTTAACAGACTTATAGTACTTTATCCAGTTTACCAAAGTGGGGCCATTTCTGGAGCCTTGGGTGGCTATAAAACTGCAGCTTTGGGGCCTTTCGTCAAGAAAGCCTGCAGCTTTCTGCTCAGCATGTTCTGAGCTGTGTCCAAAGCCTGTTGACAGGAATTGACCAGGCAGGTGCAAAGGAAAGCACTTGATTCCCATTGGTTGGGCTTTCCCAAGCTAATGAACCTCTCCGCCTAATAATTAATATAATGACAAGACTATCCCCTAAGTCAACAGAGAGAAAAAATCAATGCAAACTACACTTTCCATTGGCAACTCTGCATGCCGGTGACGACTTCTCAATTCTTCTGAGAAGAAAGAACATTTCCATCCTAGAGAAGAAATGGCATTTTAAAGGGGGGGGGGATTCTTTTTGTTAATTCAGTTTCTCTGGAAGATTCATTTCTGATCCTTTTCCCGCAGAGACTGCAGCTAAGCCACCAGTCCTGAGGTAAGAAGAGCAAGTATAGAAATCTTACATTTTCTGCTCTCCACCCTTTGCTGAAGGCTGGAGATCCCAAGAATATTCAATTCCTGGGACTTTAATGACAAAAAGAAAAATCTCTTGTAATGATTGTTTGGAAATATGATCTGAGGATTTCTGATCAGTATTTAGGAATCGTAAATAATCCCTCCCCACACAGCACTCAAACACACATACTCTAGCAACTCAGGCAATTTGGGATCTCTAGTGACTCCTTCAAGAAACAATAGCTTAAAGCAACCCAACACACATGAGTGTTGTTAACAATGGAAATATACCTTAAATGGATCTGGGCCTTTGGCCAGAAGGCGTGGTTTAAAGTCTTAAACAAAAGGCTTAATGCGGTGACCCTGGATACAGCGCCTTATTTTTTTTTAATACTATTTATCTATTTCCTCAACCCTCATGGGCTCAAGGTCAGGCGTATCCTCAAGTCTAGCCAAAGGCAAAATATCATATGCAGATTGTGGTGAAACTTCAGCATCTAAAGTACCTTTGTGGTTGATATGTGTTTAAAGATGTATAGATTTGGAAATGGAGGTGTCATTCATAGCTCCATACTTAAGTGAGTATGGCATCAATGGGCTATATAACGCCAAAGCTGCCTGTGCCCTTTTCTTTTTCCTTTTCTTTCCTTTTTTCCTTTTTGGTTTTTGGATTAGCTGGTTTACAATAATAACACCTCCATCTGCATGCAGTATTAATGGTGCTGGAAAAAAAAACTGGAAGAGCAACTGTCTATCACTGATATTTTGATGGTGCAATTTGTTATTGTTATTTGTTTTTGTTAGTTGTTACTCAAGGGCAAAAACCAAGCACAGAGCTGCTGAAGTCTATCTTCTGCATAATTATAACAGGGTGGCTCCAGGAGATGCCCCTTTTTCCTACACGCCCTCTTCATCCTACACTGAGCAAAATAGAGGTAGAAGGTTTTTTTTAAAAGAGTGAATGTTATTTTGCATGTTTGAATGACCTGAAAGGTATGAGAAGAAAAACATGGAAGAGTTGTGATTCAGATTTCACTAGTTGTTCCTTCATTGTGGATAGTGCCAAATCTTTCCATAGTACAATAACCTTGAAGTAGTTTATTTTTCCCCCTATTTTTCTATTACTTTTTTCTTGTATTTTTAACTTTTTCTTTGACCCTTTGTTTTTCCTTTTCTTTTTCGTATTTTACAGTAGTTTGTATCAGTTTTATCTTCCTTTAAAATATTTAATAAAATTATATTTAATAAAAGAAAAATTAATTTGGACACATAACGGTGGTTATTGTACACAAATTGATAAATTTGTCAGGGTTCTTTCAGAAATTTAAATGTGCAGCAACAAATTGCAAAATGTATTTTCTTTAATTTAAAAAAGAGACTAGAGAAATTTCAGCATAGCAATTGTTGACATTTATGTTGGCATTCAAAAATAACCTTTAATTATTATTTTTTTTTAAAAAAAAGCAAAGCATCTTAAACAGATATGTATCTCTGGCCTTTGATTTAATGCAAAATAGAAAATTATGGCCTGAGATGTCTTGGCACCAACTCTCATCCCAAGTAAAAGTGAATGAGGGATCTTGTCCATGTGGGAGAGAGGGAGGGAGGGAGGGAGGAAAGGAAGGAAGGAAGGAAGGAAGGAAGGAAGGAAGGAAGGAAGGAAGGAAGGAAGGAAGTGAAGGAAGGGAGGGAGGATAAAAATCAAAGAGTTAAAAAGTCCCAAGCAAATCACTTTATTGTATTAATAAATTCTGATGCAAGTACCCCTGAAAAAAGTGTCCTTCTGAAATTTGTCTGGCCTGTTTAATAATTATTTTTCTTTGCTGGCATTTAAGACTCTTTTCTGTTCCTTATTTTTTCATTTGCCAAGAATTATGTTATGCTAGTACAGCAATGCATTAACTCTCAATTCTGGCAATCTGCAAATCATTTACCAGAGGGTGCTTTTCCATTTGTTGCCCCAGCTCTAATCCTCTTCTGCATTTGCTTTCAGGCTTCAGTGACTTAGGCTGCAATGGCATACCCCTTTTCCCCAGAAACAAGCTCCCCATAGAATCCAGTGGCATTTACATTAGAGGAGGCCTCTAGCAGATTGCAAGGATAGGCTGCAATGCCCTTGGCAGAGTTTTTGTCTGAATACATGTTACATAGAATGTTCAGGGCTTTCAGAAGGCGGATCAAAGTATTATTATCATTTAGTGGTTTTTGTTCTGTTACAACCACTTAGCAAAGAAAGCAAAAAGCAAATGAAAAGCTTGGAATGAAAAAGAGGGAACCCAAAAATGGTGGGAAATGCTTAAGGAGAAGTGGTAAGACAAAATAGCCTGAAAGAGAAAGATAACACCGGATGGCTGGATATTTATTACCACTTTACTTTATTGAGAAGCAATAAAACAAAGTTTTTTCACTGCCGCTTGTAACTGTCTTTCCAAATATGCTGGTACGACTTGCAACAAAATGACCATGAATGCTGCATTTGTATAGGTACTTTCCAATCGGGTATTGGTAAAAAGATAAAATGTAAATTCCCCTACAATTGGGAATAGCCTGATGTGAAGAAGGATTAAAAAAATGGCGTATGTTTAGCCTTTAAAAAAGTCTAAGGGGAGACACAATAGTAGTCTTCCAATATTTGAAGGGCTGTCCCAGAGAAGAAGGTGTGGATTTATTCTTCATAGTATTGAGGGTAGAACTCAAAACAGAGAGAGATCCAAAATTGAAAGAATGAAGAATTTCATGACAGTAAGAGCCGTGAAGAAGTGGAACAGGCTGTCTTCTCAATTCATGGAGGTTTTCAAGCAAGGATGGATATAACCATTTGTTTGGGAAGTTCTAAGGATTCCTTCCTTTGGCAAGAAATTGGATTAGAGGACTTCCAATGTTCCTTCCTATATTCTATGAACTCTGTGCCATCCGAGTATATCTAGTACAGAGCCAGTTGAGCTGCTTTGCAACTTCCATTTGATTCCCATGTTTTATTACACTGCAGAAGTGCAACACAACACATTCTCATTCTCAAACCTCCAAATGAACACAGCAGCCCAAAGAGGTTGGGGACATCTTCTATTCCAACATACTTGAGCAGGACCAGCATGAGGAAGAATTCACAACTCTGACTTTAACACAATCTTCTTTGCTTCTCCAAACTTGCTTATATTATATTGCTATTTATTGAAAGACATTAAACTTGTACTTGAGAATATTTTTATGGAACAGAAATGTTTTGATGTTTAAGCAAAACAACAGAGGAACAGAGAAAACTAATACTTTGGTAAATGCATTAGACAGAGATAAAAGTTCTGTAATTTTATAATCCTCTGAGTTTAGTTGTTATTTTTTAATTTATATTTTAATAAGTTATTGTAAATCATTGAGAATATGATTGAAAAGTTACATAAAATACTTAAAAAGTCAGTAGTACAGCCCACATGGGAAATGAAAACCTCCAAACCCTTTTTCTCTTCAATAGATTGAGTTCAGGTATTATGCTAATTTATGGATACTTTTTTTCATGATTCCTTGATCCACAAGCAAAATAGAATCAAAAGTCATAATTCGTATTGTCTGGGTTCATATACTGTGTTCATCTGTAACGTGCAATTTATTTGTGTGCAATAAATATTTAGCTAGTGTGATCCATAGTTCAACCTGAGCTATATATATTCTCTACTATAGGTATTAAATCGTAGTTTGTACTTAATATCATGTAGAAAGTCACCTGCTGCAACTTATTTAAAAACTATGGTTATAACACATGGTTTAATAATGTTTGAATTCAGCCTATCAAACTTCGACTGAGAAAGTTCTCACATACTCAACTTTTTACAAAGTCAAACGTTCCATAATTGGACAAGCAGATGAGGCTGGTAGCAACTTTTTTTCTTCAAGTAAAGACACATACCGGTCATAGCCTGAGGTGATTATGAAATGGTTGATTTTGTACACATTTCAAGCATTCTTACTATTTCTTCATACATATGAGTAATTCAAGTTTTTGTTCTTGGGGGAAGCTTTTTGATCTCATGACCATGACAGTAATCTCCTAATCCTACCTCAGTATAGGCACTTTAGGAAATTTGCAAACAAGTTTTGGACTCTTCAAGTTCATACTTCTTTCTACAAAATATCAGCTTACTAGGAAACAAACTAGTGGTGTTGCTCCACAACTTGACATGTTGGAGTGCTGTCTACCACTTCAGCTTACATGTATCTCTTTTCTAGACAGATGGGCACAGAACTCTAAGCAGAGCTCTGGGCTTCATCTGCCTATCATGTCAATTTTCTCTACGAACGCTTCCAGAGAATTAGTGGGTCTCCCAAGAATTCTTGGGATTTTACATCACTTCCAATTGACCAGTCTTTATAATTCCTTCCCATCCCCACCCTTCCAATTCCAGTTCAAAACAGTCAGTGATCAATCAATGTTGTTTCAACCACTTCGACCTTATTATTCCCTCTTGGTTTGCATCTATAACACACATCTCTTCCCCATCTTAAAAAAAATATTAGAATGTTTGTGTTCTCCATGTTTGCATTCCTCCTTTCTAGTTCAAACTGCTATTGAAAGGCACCTGTTTTGTATCCGTCCCTTTTTATGTAAAAATGTTTTGGTAGAATAATTAGGACCTGGAAGGCAGAACTGTCTCCTCTAATGAGATAACGTCGGAGATCACATGAAATGATTCAAATGATTCACATTGATTCAGTGCTGCTTCTGCAGCAAACAATACAGCTTCAGACAGAAATGATCCTCACTGGAGGATGGATCAGGATATTATACCGGAAATTATTGAAATGTTCAGCATGTATTTATTTATTTGATCTAGCTAGCCAACCATGCAGACTCAATGACATTTTCTCAGTGAGAGATCTTGGCACTTATTTGTTTTAATTAAACAAACTTACATATGCCCCATCTCCCCAAAAATTGGTGACACAAGGAACCTCATCACTATCAAGGGAGGTCTACAGATGCCATGTTGGGTATTCAGGACCTACATCTAAGTCTTCAGTATATCTCAACTTTGTTTAATACCATAGATAAAGAATTCCAGAAGCAGTACATTTATCAACCAATTGTCATGGACAGGAAAGAGATAATTCAGGAGGAACACCAACTTGAAGAAACTGGAGATGAATTGTTGACTACACAGCCAGAGTCCTGGAAGATCCATTATGAGAAGTCGTGGCTTCACCAACATTGCTCATCATTGTTACCTTGTGACAAGCAGGCCCGGAAGACTGGGCAGCTCTTCTCTGGACTTCTAGCCATGAATGTTGTGTTTCTTGGCAGTGCATTCATATGTAGCATGATTTTCAACAAAGTAGCCATTACATTGAGAGATGTCTGGATTTTCCTATCCATCCTCAAGATCCTATCCTTGAGCTGGATAGCATATTACTTACTGTTCACTAGAAGGAAACCACATGCCATCTTGTATCAGGATGCCCATGCAGGGGCTATTTGGATTAGAGGTAAGTATTGCTGCCCTATATCTTTCTCACAATACTGTAACTGATTATTTGTAACATTAAGGCAGAAGTGAGCAACCTTTTCAACCAAAGCTACATCTTATAGTTTCCAAACACTACTGGAAAGATATATGGTGACACAGAAACATCACCCAGCGTACAGACCACACATTCGGCACCTTTTGTATAGATACTGTAGACTCTGGCAAAACTGAAAAATTATTTGCTTTATTTGATCTGCTTTTCACTTTCTAAATATGTTATTTGTGCATGTGATATTGATAAATGTAACTGCTTTGTTGTTAATGAACTTTTGTATGTCCATATAGGGTCTTTAATATTGTTTGGAGTATGCAGCGTTGCCTTGCACAGTTTCCGAATTGGGTATGACATTATCTACATTCAGAGCGAATCACAAATGGAAATCTTGTTCCCATCCATACAAATACTCTTCATCTGCATTCAGGTAATAGATCTGCTTTACTACAGGTTCCTAAATAGAGTGTATAGAAAGGATAACCATTGGAGGAAAGGCATTTGCTCCTAACTCAGAAGACTAACTCAGAGATTAACTGAACCTGATAGCCACTATGTGTATACAGCATATGCTAGCATTGCCAGTAAATGGCTTCAGGGGAAATTGCAATGCCTTCATTTACGCGTCCAGGGCATCTTTACAAAGAAGGAAAAGAGCAAACACCCCCCCCCAGGCGTTGCTCCCTTATCCTTTTGCCTCCTGCTACTCCAAGATGCTCAATAGACATGGAGAAATGAGACGTCGGGATTATTCTATCTGGAGATGAAGGATATAAAGCATATTTCTTATTAGCCAGGGTAACCAGTGCAACTCATGGTATGTGGTTGTAGCTCTGGTCCCATAAGCTCTAAACAAGCATCTCTGGAGAACAAATGGAGAACATGAGAAGTATCTTGTCGCTTAAGCCTTGGCTATAGCATACTGAGAAATAGCTTTTCGTCCCTGCAATACTGTTTTTTCTTGACCAAGAATGCAAGAATTGAACCCTTTCCCTTACAAACTATTGTACACGTTGTTGCATAGATGTGTTTCCATGCTTCACACCTACGTTTACTCTCTGCTTTCCTTTCAGACTTACTTTATATGGTGTCATGCAAAAGACTGTATCCAGGTTCAGCACAACCTCACCAGGTAGGGAAATAGAAGCAGCAAGCATAGACAGCTTTTGAGCAAATGGGAGCAATACCTTGTATGTTACTGTTTGCAGTGACTAAGAAAAAGTATATTTCATCCATATATATATATATGTCCCCTTGCTGATCCAATTGCCTACTCATTGCCCTCGTGACAGGGCCACTCTTCCTGATTGCCTGTGACTGCCTTAACTGTTCCGCCCTCTCTTTTTTGCACTCTAACATTGTATTTTTCTGCTCCGTCATCCTTGTGCTGCCAGGACGCTGGCAGAGGACCAGCGAAAGCTAAGTTGTTTTAATCTTGTATATAACTGTTTTTATTGTTTTAAATGTTGTTTTAACAATAAATAACTGGAGTATACTCTTCCCGAAGATCGAAGATTGCATCATTGAACAAATATGCCCGGGATTCGTATTTTTATAACCATTAAGGACGTGTGTGTGTGTGTGTGTGTGTGTGTGTGTGTGTGTGTAGGTCTTTGGTTATTCGGGTTTTCTCCCACGTACAATTGGAAGTGTCTTGGCAACGTTTCGACGAAGTCCCATTCCTCGTCTTCAAGCTGGTGTTTTCGGCTTCATGCTTCTAGGAGCACAAAGCCGAAAACACCAGCCTAAAGATGACGAATGGGACTTCGTCAAAATGTCACCAAGACACTTCCAATTGTACACGGGAGAAAACCCGAATAACCAAAGACCTACATACAAACACCCGCGAAAACCTCAAAAAACATATATATATATATATATATATATATATATATATATATATATATATATATATATATACACACACACACACACACACACACACACACACACACACACATAGAAAAAAAATCCCCCATCACTATCTGCTTCATTCTAAGACCTCTTCCCTTACTTTTTTCTCTGCCTTGTGACCCAGAGTGGAACTGCTCTTGAGGGGTGGCAAAGAATTCCACAAACCTGGCACACATAAACACACACTATTTCTTCTTATGATGATTACCTGCAGCTCTCAGGATTGTCTCTATATTGAAAGGCAATCTTCTGGAGTGGGATGGTATTTTAGGTAAAACTGTATTCTCATTCTAACTCAGCTATTTAATTCTTGTGTAGCTGTCACTTGGAAGTCTCCAATTCAGCTACTGATGTGCTGATTTTCATACTGCACAAGTATGGAAAAAGAGAATATTCAGCAAATCAGTGTAATACAACTTGTTTCATAAAGATCAATGGAGAAGATTATTTAAAAAGTGTGTTTTCCTTCTTTGGCAGATATGGGCTAATGCTGACCTTGTCCACTAACCTCCTGTTATGGCTTTTAGCAGTGGCCAATGATACAGTTCACAGACAAATTGAATCAGAATTTAACCAGTCTCTACAAAGATATAAAGGCAAGGGTCATTTTCTGTTATAAATTAATTCCAATGAAATTGACATTTTCTTCCTATATGTATCCTAGAGCAAAGAATTCCATCCCATGCATTTCAAAAACTGTCTTTATATTTCATGTTAAATCGCAATATGTGTTGATTTTGGCATAAGGGGTTGTTTCTATGGTTTATAAATCCTGGTCTTTGCCTTAATCTTTGCCACACCAAGATTAAGCAGGCTATGGCATCCTCTCTCTCTCTCTCTCTCTCTCTCTCTCTCTCTCTCTCTCTCTCTCTCTCTCTCTCTCTCTCTCTCTCTCTCCCTGTGTGTGTGTGTGTGTGTGTGTGTGTGTGTGTGTCTCCATGTGTGTGTGTGTGTGTGTGAGAGAGAGAGAGAGAGAGAGAAAGAGAGACAGACAGACAGACAGACAGAGACCAATCAGCAAGATGAAAGATGAAGAATTGGAATACAAGTTCCACCTCTTTTGAACATGTGTGCAATGTGAGCGCACATTCAAATGGGGTGCTCCAGCCATCCCCTTCCCATTTTACATGCACACTTAATGGATGCTGCATAAAAAATCCAGCCATTAGTACATAGGAAAGAAATAATCTAAAGCTTCCTGATATTGATTCAAATTGGTAGCATGATAAACCAATTGATTACTTGGTGTATGCTGGACCTTCAGGTTCAGCATTTCACTACTCAACAGAAAAAAGACAATACCATACTCACCTACTGATTTAAACAAAATTCATAATCATTGTCAAGGATAGGTTCTTCTGTCTTCTATGATAGTAGCACCAAAGTCTGAGAAAATTCCTTATTCGGCCTAGGTGTTTACATATTATAACTTTATGCATTTTGTTCCAAGCAAATCTTGTAATCTGGAAATCTCATATCTATCTTCTGCATAATCCTCCATTTTCCCTATCTTGCTCAGCTAATTTGACGTTCTCCTGCAAGGACTCAAACAAGACCACCTGCAAGATCTTCCAAAAAGGATATATTTTGTTATATCCCTTCAATACAGAATACTGTTTGATTTGTTGCTCCATGCTGTATGTCATGTGGAAGAACGTGGGCCGGCGCATAACCCAGAGCCATACCTCTGGAATCCAGCCTAGATTCAAACTCCATGGCATCATCTGGGGGCCTTTGCTTGGTATCGCTGCAATAATTATCGGTATTTGCACTTTCATGATATATCAAATCCAAGCCACCAGTTCTTTCCCTACCTATATGTCATTCATACTGTATTATTCCTACTACATTTGTTTATTGCCTGCAATGACTGTGGGGGCTTTGGCTGGAACTGTTGTCCATGCTTTAGAAGAAAGAGAGCTGGATACTCTGAAAAATCCAACCAGAAGCCTTGATGTCATCCTGCTCATGGGAACAGCCTTAGGCCAAATCGCCATCTCGTATTTTTCCATTGTAGCCATTGTGGTCACCCATCCAATAAGCATGTTGAACAGCATCATTCTAGCCTATTCAATAAGCCTCATCATTCAACACATTTCCCAGAATATCTTCATCATTGAGGGCCTCCACAGGCAACCATTACTGATGAGTGAGGACTCTCAACTTGCTGCACATTCCACTCAAGGGCCTCCCTCCTCCCAAGTTCTGCCTAATGAAGATAGGGCTCTATCCCATCTCTGTGAAGAACCTGTCCCATCCCCTGCTGGTGAGGAGACAGACAAAAGTGAAAGAGAGAAATGTGAAAACAGCTCCCCAAACATGGATAACTTAGAGACAAGACAGGAAAAACAGAGTGTTTCGTGGACTTACATCCAGGCCTACAGGCATCTGAATTGGAAAAGAAGAGCTCTGAAGGAGATCTCCAGCTTCCTGATCATGTGCAATATCATTGTGAGTACTTATATAAATGACATAACAATTGAAAGTATAGCCTAAGGTACTAGAGATGTTTTGAATGACTATTCTATTGAAATCTCTGACCAATGGCACTGTGACCAAGTTTGGTTAAAAAGGTAGTCCGAAATATTTGGGAAACTCTAGCTTTCTAATTCTGCCATATGTTTTCAAGCACCATTGTCAACAATGGACAAATTTGGCTAGACCTTAATATAAAGTATGGATCAGCATCCATCAAAGGATCAATGGTTTTTTTCCCCATCAAAATAACCTAGCACAGAAGACAGCGAAAGGCTTTTGACATTATCAATTAAAATTATTATGCAGGATTTCTAACTTTCTCTCCATAATGTTTTTTTTTTTTGAGGCAAGAAAAATGGCTAAGGATGCAGAACAAAAACATGAGGAAAAGGAAAGTTACTAAGGGAAACGCCTGAACCATGAATTAGGCATGGAAATTGCATAGTGAACACAAATGAACAAAAACTTGTTCAGATTTTTTCTTTGTGTAGCACAAGAACCAAGGTTGTTAAGATTTTCACTCACCGGAAGTGGAGAAACTAGGAAATACTACCAAAAATTAAGATAAAATGACCATGTTTTTAATAGTAAACACACATATCCACATCCCACCAATCAGAGAAACACTTTTTTCTGATCCTGTTCTATTTTTATATCCCCTTTCCAGCTGTGGATTATGCCATCATTTGGAGCACATCCAGTGTTTGAGAATGGAATAGAGAAATCATTTTATGGCTATTCCACCTGGTTTGCCATTGTCAACTTTGGGCTCCCGTTGGGTGTGTTCTACCGAATGCATTCTGTTGGTGATCTTCTGGAGGTCTATCGCTCTGCCTGAAGCAATCTAAATTTTCTCATATTGCTGTTTTTATTTTGCTACAAATGTGATTACAAAGACCACAAATGATTTGTGATATCATTTTGAATAATTCTTTAATCAGAAAAAATACTCTGATCTTGTCGGTAAGTAGTCCATTAATCATTGAAGGTTCATTTCTCCTTAATAGCTCTTAATAGGATTGATTTGTTCTGTACACATTACTTACAAAATCTAATTACAGTGACGCTGAACAATTATTAACCTTAAGAATACAAGTCTAATGTCACATTTGAAAGAGAAGTAAACTATGTCGAGAATGGCAATCCCTTGGGTAAAATGGTCATTTTTTATTACTGCAACAATCCTTGGATATGGCTGAATCATTGGGAAGAGACTAAGAAACGGAGCACTTTTAAGTTAAGGACATTTCTATCAATGTCTTTTGAAATGGCATGAAAATATCCCAGGTGTGGCACCTATTTACATCTATGATCAAAGCACAAAGATTGTGTCATTCATATGTATGTGATAATACAAAGCCATTCTAGATATGTTTGTGACAACTGGCCTTATATTTTGCATCAGCGGAGGCAATAAATGTAATATTTAGGAAGACTGAAACATAACTTTGATATCAAGCAGATAATAAGAAAACATCTCAAGTGGATTTCTGATATACCTTGGGAGAATTCAAATTTTATAACTTGGATCTATAGCAATTTTTTTTTATTAAATGATAAAAAGTGTGAAAAGAGCAAGGCTCTCTCCTTACAAATCGACAAGCAACTTTGTTTAGGATTCCATACCACGCCAATAGTCCCATTTACACTTGGATAGTCTTGCCCTGCACTAGACAGCCTTACTCAGATGATCCCCACACCATGATGAAATGATTGCTTCTTCCAAGGCTATGTTGTTAGACCAGGATCATACAAATTTTGAGTTAAGCCAGGTCAGGAATAATCCTGTTTTCATTTTTTTATCTTGCACACCAAATATATAAATAATTAAAACCGAAGCAGGAATAAATATATTAAAGCAGAGTAAAATATCAGGTTCAGGATCTGATCAGAAATACTAATTTAATTATTGAAATATGCAGAAGCAGAACTGTGGAGAAACTTCCAACCTCTTAAAAATGATAATTAGCTAAACTTTCCAGCTAAACTTTACTACATGTGCTCCAATTCAGGGGTCCCCAACCCCCGATCCATGGACCGGCACTGGTCTGCAGCATGCCAGCAACCGGTCCACACAAACAAGCGAAGCCCCATCCATGGCATGCAGGCAGCATGCAAAACCACACCCCCTCCAGTCCATGGAAAAACCTTTCTCCATGGAACCGGTCCCTGGTGCCCAAAAGCTTCAGGGCCACTACTCTTAATTGTTTGCTCAGAGTTCAGGATACAAAAAAACAGACTGCATTGAAAAACCGCCTCTAGGTTATTGTAGATGTTTGATTATATAAGGGATTAAAACTGATCCAAGCTTTGCAATCAATCTACCTTTTAGTAATAACTAAACCTTTCTCTTTGATAAGAGGTAGCAGGTGGAAGTGTAAACATTTCTTATTTTATTGCTCTCCTGTAAAATAAATCATTTCAAAGTTACTAAGATAGAGTCCAGGGCTTGGCTTTCTCACATCTCTTACTTTAGAAAAGTAAGCCAAAATAGGCTGCAGGAAGTTTATTCAGCTCCATTCAGAAAACCTCTGCTCCAAAGAGTCAGCTGGCCCAAACACCAAAGAACAAACGTTGTTAAGGGTTGGAATTTTGCATTTTGGCTAGTTTTGTTCTGTTTTGTATCAATTAAAGTTGCCAGAGGAAATAAGAATCGAGTAAGTTAGCATTCTTAAAAAGTTGTCCCATTCTTCCCAGGTCGAAACCCAAGGTCCTATCCAAGGAACTTACTGAAAGTTGGTGGGTTTTGAGGAAAAAGCAGAGAAAAGTTAGTGCTCTGGCAATAAAGACCAGTGCAGTTTGAAGCAGATACGCGAGCCAAGAAACTTACTGAAAGTTGGTGGTTTTGAGGAAAAGCAGAGAAAAGTTAGTGCTCTGGCAATAAAGACCGGTGCAGTTTGAAGCAGATACGCGAGCCGTGGCTCTTAGACCAACTGGTTACCCAGAATCTAAATATTTCTTTCAAATTCTGAAAAAAGAAGTCTCACATTCCTCACTCACAACAACTGGCAAATTCACGTCAATTTCCTTAAATTTCATGTTGCTTTGAAGGTACATTTATTTTGTACATTTTAATTCCACAAACTCTTCTAGAATCTGGGGTACAGGCCACCTGTCCCCTTCTTCTCATTAGCAAATGTGCTAGTGTAACATGAACAATAAAATATTGATCCAAGAGCTCCTCTGCAGCCGTGCCTTTAATGGAAAGGTACATGTTGCAAAGAATGCCACAGCATCATAAATCAAACAGTAACACAAATAAGCTAATAAACCTCTTGTGATATAGATAAAGCCAGCTAAAGCATTTAAGATAATTTTATCTTCATATGTAAAGTAAATAGTTTATAGTGCAATTTTGATTCTTCAGGGAACAAAGAGCAGAGATGCAATTCTAAAGAAAGAAAAAGTCAAGATAAATTCACAAAAAAAAACATTAATATACAACAAAATGCCGGAGCGTCACAGAAATGTTCATACACACATATATGGGAGCATTCATGTATACAGGTGAAAGACATGGATCAGTGTTTACTAACAAGAATCTTTACTTTGTAGTGAGATACAAATATGGTGCAATTGATCAGAACTTTAACTGGGCATTGCCAAAGACATTCAAAGGAAAATATAATCTTCATTCTTTCAATCGGCATGTAATAAGAATTAAACAGCAGGAGGCTTTTGTTAATGAGCAGGACATGACATGATAAATGTCAAAGGGAAAAATGTCAAAAAGGAATAAAGTGATCTTATTTATCCTTTCATCAAACTAATCTCCAACGGCACCTAGTTCATATCTACAAATTGCTCACTTTAATGTAATAAAAAACAAGAAAATGTTCTTGAGCAGAAAAAAAACTAAACTGCATTAGAATTAATTTTACAAGTTTAAGTTGCACTTTCCTTTGCAACAAGGTGACAATATTTGTTTAATGTCACGTATGAAAAAGACAAGATTTTATAAAAAGAAAGGGCTCTGCAAAACAGCCTCTCCTATTTCTCTGTCTAGGGCTCAAATAAAAACTGGCAAGAAGGAGATAACATACTTGCCATCTTTAGTGTTGAGCAAAACACACACTAATACGCTGCTGAAAATTTATAAGCAGGAGAATTTGTTGTACATTAAATCAATTATAGTTTAATTAACCAACTTAGAATACAAACCATATTATGTGACTTTCTAGAGAATAAAACTCCATTCCAGCAGTCTGACTGCTCATTTCAATACATTAAAAAAAAAACACCAAACAATAATTTCTAAATCCCTGAAAATAGCATATGCTCAAGCCGTTTCCTCATCTCTCAAAATGTCCCACAATATTTTTCCCAGAGACAATTCTTGCAATAAACACCAATTTTAAAATGTGAAATATATTCAAGACACATATCCATATTTAAAAGGAGTTCCTACAAGGTTAGGAAAACAAACAAAAACGGAATTTGAATGTTCCATTACAATATCAGGACAAAGAAATTAAACACATTTTCTTTGACAGGGGAAAGCGAACAAAACCAAAATGTTATCCTGAAATAATATAAATAAGTAGACTGTTGGGTCAACAGTCATCTCCTAAAGCAGGGGTCTTCAAACTTGGCCCTTTTATGACTTGTGGATTTCAACTCCCAGAATTTCTCAGCCAGGCACTCTGAGGAATTCTGGAAGTTGAAGTCCACAAGTCATAAAAGGGCCAAGTTTGAAGACCCCTGTCCTAAAGGAAACTCCTTCTCATCCCCATATGATGCAATAAAACAGTGGGGGAGGGGCATGGGAACAGAGGATTGGAAAGGAAGGGCTGAGAGCCTACATTCTTTGGAAAAGAGCCACAAAGCTACTTCCTGCAGTTGCGCTTTCTTCACTGGTCCACTTTCTAATTCTTTACATTCACTGTCTTTCTACATGAAGGCTGAATCTGACTAGGGAGTGAAAAGATGGCTTCTCTAGCACTAGTCAAATTCAAAATTGCACCAAAAAGCATGGGGAAGGTCTGATAAGCTCTTGTTAGGTTTTCAGTTTGATTCCTAGCAATGGCCATTTCTCCAACAACTTTTCTACACTCCTTTTCTTGGGGGTGGACAAAGTTAGGAAGGGCTGCTGAGTTTTAAAAGTGGAGGGAAAATGGCTGTGATTGTCCTCTAGAAACATGCAGGAGGCAGTGAAATGAAGAAAGAGCTGTGATGAACAAGCACACAGCAAGATCCTTGTTTCCTGTGTTTCTGCTCAACCGGAGGCAAGTTCCGTTCCTCAAACGCGCTGAATTTCGAACAGCTTTACATCTGTGTCATACCAGATAGGAGGATCCACATTCCTAAAGAGAAACAGATATTCATTCCCTTGTACATAACATAAATGTCAGGGTGGAACCGGGAAAACCAGTATGTTTCCAGCACTTTTTAACATGTGCAATCAGGCAAAATCAATAGACCCAGTGATATAGAGAAAGAAGCTATTTAATAGACAGCTATTTCTAATGACATTTTATGCTATTTGAATTCTTCAAATTCATTTGTAATCTATATTTCTTAGCACTAATGTAGTCTTTAAAATGTATAATGTCCATGAGAGTAATCAGGCTAGAAAGCAGGAGACCATGAGTTCCAGTTCTGCCTTAGGCATAAAAGCTAGCTGGGTGACTTAGGCCCAGTCACTCTCTTTCAGCCCAAGTCACCTCACAGGGATGTTGTTGTGGAGGAAATGGAGGATAGTGTATTGGATATGTTCACCTCTTTGAATTATTTTGAAAATAATAAAGGCAGGATACAAATAAATAAAAAATAAATATAAATGTCCTGGATCAGACAAAATCTATCTTAATCCAGCATTCTGTTCTCACCCTCTCTTTCTTCCCAGGGCTAAGCAGATGGTTATGTAATTGTTCTTGCATGCCTTCTTCAAGTTTATCTCCATATTCCTGAACATGTAACTCTAGGGGTCTTCAAACCTGGCAACTTTAAGACTTGTGGACTTCAACTCCCAGAATTCCTCAGCCAGGAATTCTGGGAGTTGAAGTCCATAAGTCTTAAAGTTGCCAAGTTTGAAGACTTCTGATGTAACCAATACTGTAAATGTCATCCTCCCATCACCTGAATATCATTTACATGGGAGTTGATTTTTAAATTAGAAGACAGCAAAGATACCATACATGATTTTCTAACTAAGAAATCACCTATGATGGCATTCCAAACTTCAACTTCGTTTTCAATTTAAATTTATGCACTGATTTCAGCAAATACTACAAAAATAAATTAAAACAAAAACAAGATGGCAAAACAATCTTAAGATTCAGGTTTAAAGCCAAATAAAATGAAGTAGGAACAAGTTACATATTAATTGAATGGAACAATTCTGCACTTCAATGTACATCCTCTAATTAAATTCCAGTACAGATTGAGACTTTAGCCCAGACGAGAGAGGAAATAACAAGCATATAATTTCTCTTTCAGTTTAAATGCATTTAAATCCAATATTACAGGGCTGGTGAAAAACAGTTACCCTTTTTATTTTTAGCATCTAGTAATAATTTTAAAATTTCATTTTGACAGGTTGTCCTCTTCTTACAACCATTCTTTTAGTGACAGTTCAAAGCTACAACGGTGCTGAAAAAAATGACTTGTGACCTTTTTTCACACTTACAATCGTTGCAGCATCTCCATGGTCACATGATCAAAATTCAGACAACTGGCTCATATTTATGATTGTTGCAGTATCCCGGGGTCATCTTTTGCAACCTTCTGGCAAGCAAAGTCATTGGGGAAGCCAAATTTACTTAACAACCGTGTTACTAAAAAACTGCAGTGATTCACTTAACAACTGTGGCAAGAAAGATCCTATACTGAGGCAAAACTCACTTAACAATTGTCTTACATGGAGACCGTTTCTGGACTTTGTGCTTGAGGTGGAAAAAAAATGAAACTTTGATTCTGGGTTTCACTGATTAGATTGATTTGTTGTTGCAGAAATGGCTAGTTTTTACTATTGTGAAAAAGTAAAAAGTTGAGGCTCAACGTTAATGCTTTATTCTGCTGCAACAGGGGAAGTCAGACGTCAATCTCTTTTTTTTTTTCCCCTCCCTTTCTTCTCCCTTTTTTCTCCTCATTGTGTCCTACTATTTGCTTTGTATTTTGTATTTTACTTTACAACTTAATAAAATGTTATTTAAAAAATTGTTTTACTTAGCAATGGAAATGTTCGGCTTAATTGTGGTTGTAAATCGAGGACTAACTGTATTTTTTTTTTCAAGTGTTCAGATCCTAATTCATTTCGGCCTCAAATGCATCTTAACTTCAGTGAGTAAAAAAAGTTTGGTCACATTTTATAAAACATCAAATTTAGTTTATTAAAAAAGAAATGTCACTCCCTATACAGCAGGGGTCTTCAAACGTGGCCCTTTTATGACTTGTGGACTTCAACTCCCAGAATTCCTCAGCCAGGCACACTGGCTGAGGAATTCTGGGAGTTGAAGTCCACAAGTCATAAAAAGGCCACGTTTGAAGACCCCTGCTATACAGAATCTGAACACATTAGAACAGGCATGTCAAACTCGAGGCCCGCGGGCCAGATCCGGCCCGTGATGTGTTTAGATCTGGCCCACAAGCAGACTAGTAGGAGAAGGTCATTGAGTATGTAGGGGGGGGGAGCTGAAATGACAGCAGCGCCAGACAGGCCTGGGGGAGAGTCAGCTGGAGCTGCGGTGTTGCTGGGGCTCTGCTGAGGCCCTGGGATCGGTATACATGGCTCTAGCTCAGTGATGGGGAACCTTTTAGAGACTGAGTGCCCAAACTGCAACCCAAAACCCACTTACGCATCGTTGAGTGCCAGATGGGTGTGGCCCATTGGGTGGACGTGGCTGCGGTGGTAATGGCAGACTGGGTGGGACTAAAAAGTTCAATCAATCAATTCCAACTTTGCAAGATCTTTTTTTTCCCGCAAGAAGTTGAAATTGACTGAACTTTTTTTTTTTGCACACTGCGGCGGAGGCCTAAAGTGAAAAGGTTTTATAAAACCCAACTGAAGGCCTAGGACTGGGGCGACAGCACGCATGCCCACAGAGAGGGCTCTGAGTGCCGCCTCTGGCACCTGTGCCATAGGTTCACCACCACTGCTCTAGCTGATCGGGGCTTCCTGTAGCCTCAGGGATGGCCAGCAGCCATACACAGTCTTTGGGGGAAGAGTCAGCTGGAGCTGTGGGGCTGCCCAATCAGCTCATGCAACTCCAGCTGATGAGCGCTGCATGAAAAGGCCAGCCGGGCAGTGAGTGAACGCATGGGGGAGGGGAGGATGCAAAAAGAGGGGTTTTGCTGGGAAGGAGGAGGAGTGAGGGGGGAGAGAAGGTGATAGGGAGGAGAGGAGAGATGTCAGTGGAGCAAGCCTCAGGGAGAAAGGGGGATAGGAGAGGAGAGGCTTCTGTGGGCCAAGCCTCAGGGAGGGAAGGGGACAGCAACTGGCCCTTTGAGGGCAACCATAATGCTGATGTGGCTCTCAATAAAATTGAGTTTGACACTCCTGCATTAGAATCACAGAATTTGAAGAAAAAGTAATATATATTGTATATTATATAAACCAGCAGCACGAAAGTAATGCAAATTAAATTCAGTGAATTAACTGCATCCTTCTAGTTTAAGGATATCCTGTGACTCTAACCACTGAATTTAAAGACCAAGCTAAACCCCAGGCTAATACTTCCGGCTCAAAGAATGTTCTCATTCAGCATACTAATGGCAAGTAAGATGAAATTGGATAGAATCCTGCTAGCTTACCTCAGATATATAACTCCCCACATGTAAGTACGGAACCACATAGCAGTGCCAGAATTAGCCTGGTATTTGCGGATCAAGATGGGATGAGGGACAGGAAGGAGCCCCACCAATGTGCCATGTTGCAAGAATTTCAGAATCTCAGATTCATCTGTAAGGCCCCTGCAGAAAGTGGGAACACATTTACCTATACAATGCATTGCATTCTCTCTAATGCAAATTACAAATAATTGGACATGCAGGTTTATAGAAACATAAGAAAACTGACAGCAGAACAAGACCTAGTGGTGCATCAAGTCTGCCCTTTGAAGGTTTTTTAAAATTTGTAATTTATTTATTTAATTTTTGATGGACATGTGTTTATCTCAAGCATGTTTAAACTTAGTTACTGTTGACTGACCCACATTTTAATCATCACCATGCTCCAAATGGTAGATGACTTTCATTAGGACTTCTGGTCTTTTTATATCTCTCACTAACATTCAATAACATCAGCCACAATATTCTTCTGGACACCTTCAAAGACATGAAGCATCTTTTACTGGTAATTCCACTCCCTGAGTGGGCACTTCTAGTCAACAGTCATTAAGGGAGAAATAGTTGAGCATATAGTTGTCCAATAGGACTCAGGGCCTTTTTCCCATGCTAGTTAACACACACACAGAGAGAGAGAGAGAGAGAGAGAGAGAGAGAGGGGAGGGAGGGAGGGAGGGAGGGAGGGAGGGAGAAGAGAGAGAGAGAGAGAGAGAGAGACAGAGAGAGAGAGAGAGAATAGTGTATAGCATATAATAACCAGGTACAGTTGTCAGTTGATTTGGGATGAGATTACTAGGTTGATATTCAGCTATATGTTGTCTTCCAAGCTGGGGCAGTAATGCTATGGATGTTGTTAAGAGCAAAATATGTTCAAATTAACTACTAGCAAGATAGAATCACCATTCATGTATATATATTTGGGCTGCCCAGATACAATGTTTCCAGTGATAGTATGATTTGTAAGTTCTCCTCAACGCTAAAACAGAAGATGGTGGCCCCACTGCCAAGCTTAGGCTGGAGCACTAGTTCCAAAGGATAAACAAGTCCCAACAACAAATATTCATTCACTCATCACCACATTCCTCAGCTGCTGCAATCTGCTCTCCATGAGACCCTTTGAAAATAGGTTTTAAATGGTACATAATGTAGTAGCCTGTACTGTAGAATGCTGACAGGTGAACGTCAACAATGCAATATAATGCCTATTCTTGCCCCACTACATTGACTACTGGTAACCTTCCAGGCCCAATGTAAAGTGCTATAAAACTCTTTATAGCGTAACTCTGGGTTGTATCAGGGACTAGGTTCTCCAAAGTGCTTCTGAACGTCTACAGAGGTCCTACTCCATGATCCACTCTATCCATAAGTAAGGAAGGAGGCTGTTGATTAGAAGCTATTTTAATCCATGCTTTTGAAGACCCTATCCCCAGGTATATGCCTGGCCCTATTCCCTCCCCAACAGGATTTATATGCATTGAAATATGGTTTTAAACTAGTAAGAGCAACTAAATGAAAATATTGAGAACCAGAGTAATGTAGTGGTTAAGGTCGATAATGGATATGGAAGAAGAAGGAGGAGGGGGAGGAGGAGGAGGAGGAGGAGAAGGAGGAGGAGGAGGAGGAGAAGGAGAAGGAGAAGGAGAAGGAGAAGGAGAAGAAGAAGAAGAAGAAGAAGAAGAAGAAGAAGAAGAAGAAGAAGAAGAAGAAGAAGAAGAAGAAGAAGAAGAAGAAGAAGAAGAAGAAGAAGAAGAAGAAGAAGAAGAAGAAGAAGAAGAAGAAGATGATGATGATGAAGAAAGAGCAGGGAGACAAAGTTCTATGCCTTCTTTGAGCATGGCTGGGTGATTTCAGACCAGCCTTTCTTTCCTGACACTATATTGGAAAAAACCACCCACCCATGCTAAATCAGCATGGTAGATATTGGTCCACAATCTTCAACAAGGAGGCCTTTATCTTACAGTGGACTGACTGACACTGAGGAAGAGCACCAGGAAGAAAGATTGTACACTGTTCGTTTTCTTTTTTTTCTTTGCCTCGTGCTATTATTGTTGGCATTTGTCACTGGATGCTTTATTTTGAATAATGTTAATGAATAATAAAAAAAAAGAAATACAGAAACGTCCTATGTAAAGTCTTTGACTTGACTCCATTAGTAATCAATGCTACCTTGAAGAACTATGAAATTGCAGTGCGGTAGTAAAATTTCTAATTTTTAACTTAGTGGCAGTGGCCAAACACTCTGTTGCTATCGGCTTGAGATTCTGGAAAATGTTCTAACATGAGAAAGGTTACATTTGTTCAGTGGAAAGCAGGCTATCTAATGGTCAGAAACATTCAAGTAGCAACACTTGAATGTGCAAAGGCCAAGTAGGTGCTGCCATCCAGTGGTCAGAAGTAGCAATGACCCAAATATCCTGTCTAAAGGTTTAAAGGTTTCCCCTATCCCAGTGATGGCAAACCTTTTAGAGATCGAGTGCCCAAACTGCAACCCAAAATCCACTTATGCATCTTTGGATGCTGGGTGGGTGTGGCCCATTAGCTGGGTGTGGTCATTGGGTGGGCGTGCCTATGGTGGTAATGGCAAACTGGGTGGGACTAAAAAGTTCAATCAATCAATTCCAACTTTGCAAGACCTTTTTTTCTTGCGAGAAGTTGAAATTGATTGATTGAACCTTTTTTTTTTTGCACACGTCGGCAGAGGCCTAAAGCAAAAAGGTTTTATAAAACCCAGCTGAAGACCTAGGACTGGGGCAACAGCGCGCGTGCCCACAGAGAGGGCTCTGAGTGCCACCTCTGGCATCTGTGCCATAGGTTCGCCACCACTGCCCTATCCAGTTGTGATCAACGCAAGGGAGTGGTGCTAATCTCCAATTCTTAGCCTAGGCAGCCTGCATCCTTTGAGAGATGTTTCCATCATCATGTAACCAACATGAAAACATGGAATGCAGTAACTTTTCCTGCCAAAGCAGTACCCATTTATCTACTCGCATTTGCATGCTTTCCAACTGCTAGGTTGACAGGAGCAGGGGCAAGTAACAGGAGCTCACCCCTTTGCACAGTGTTCAGGTCTCAAACCCAGGCTGTTGGCTTTCCAGCTGACAAGCTCAGCGTCTTAACTACTGAGCCATCGCGCCCCTATCCTGTCCTATAGTGGAGCATAATTTCACTAGGAATGGGAAGGAGCCAAGAATCAAGATTTTAGATGGCACCTGTGGTGTATGTTCCCACCAATGTATTTCCAAAGAGGGATCCTAGGAGTTGAATTAATCTCTAAGCCTTTGTAGTGCTACAACTGCCATTTTTATAGAGCCCAGAAATTTGGGCATTCTTCAACAGTCCTCCATGACAGGAAAGACTTGCAGGACAACTACACTTGGGACATTCAGGTCATACGAAGCAACTATAAGATGTGGTTCCTAGGGCAATTACTCCAATCTCAGTTTCTATGGAAGATCATGATTAGCTAATGAAACCTTTAGGGCAAGCTACAGCTTCAAACCAAGAAATCATTTCCTCATTGCTGCTCTCATTAAACGGATAGTGTATTGCACTGAATCTTCATACGTATGAATGTTGTTCCTTTTCCCACAGAAAAACTTGAGGAAAACAAAGTTTGGTAGAATAAGGAAATAATGAGGTAGAGAAATATTAGGCTGCATATGAATAAGAATGTGCACTTGTTGCAGCAACAGCAGGGGAGGATTTTGTCAACTGAGAGTGTTCCCACAAAAAGACCTGGATCAAAAGACTGTGCAGTTCCAAGCTGAACGGGGGAAGCGGTAAACAATTCAGGGTAGCCATACCCTAGAACAGTGTTTCCCAAACTTGACAATTTTAAGGCATGTGGACTTCAACTCCCAGAATTCCACAGCCAGCGTTGCTGGCTGTGGAATTCTGGGAGTTGAAGTCCTCATGCCTTAAAATTGTCAAGTTTGGGAAACACTGCCCTAGAATCTTTCAGGATATATCTAGTAACGTGTAAAGTTATAGCTTTAGTTTGGCAAGATTCTGTCTATTAGGGGTAAGCAAATAAAGGATTGAACTTTTTGGAATACAGGTTAGAATATATTTTGTATTGTAACAACTACAGAATTATTCAGCCTATAGATGGCAGTGTTCAGTTAGCATCTGTGGTTATAATTTCTAACAGGACTCAATTGGATTTCACTGTCTTGTTTCTGGGCTTGGGACTGACAAGAAGAGAGAGATGGTTCTATTTGAGGTGAAGAAAGGGAATGGAAGTGAGTTAAAGGTCTTGGTCGTATGATCTCCACTTTTCTGAATGAGCAGTGATTAATCTGTTGTCCGAATGTGTCCTCACATTAAAATGGAAACAATACTGTTCCTAGCATACTTTTTATAAATAAAACCTTGATGTTTTGGGGAGTACTGCCTGAACACACATAATTGTGCTTATAGATACGCAGACAGCCATAAGAATAAAGATCATAAAGAACATCAACTAATGTTAACATCATACGCTTGACCTATGATCCAAAGCCCTCAATGTCTTTAACTGGTAGGATGTAGGCAATGTTAACTGGCAAGGTAGATACAGATTAGATATCACAGACTGCTTTGAATAGCATAAGTGTCTTTGAAGTTCAAATTGGGTTTTGATTTTGTTGTAGCATACATGTCAAAATGTACCCAAATTAACCAGCAGTATTCTTAGAAATAGAATGTAATACTGCATGGAGGACGGGTGCAATAAAGGCTAGTGACACAATTTGTATTTTTTCTATCTTACAAAAAAGCAGTATGTGAAAGCCTCAATTGACCAAAGCCATGATGGCATATCCAGCAATGTCTATGGCACGTGAAAATCACAACTTGGAAGAACAGCGGAGTGAATCATAAAGAGCATAAATTAGCAAACAAGGGGATTGGAAAAATGTGTTTGTGAAAAGAAGAGAAAGTGGAACGATATAATAGATTTGAAAGACGGCAGTCTGATACTGTGGTGTGGAATTGATGAATATATGCAAGGAAGCAAAGGTACAGGTTTAATAATGAATGAAAGAGATATTTTTTTGCCTGAAAGTATGAATTGGCATCATCATCATCTGCATTACTATGGGAAAGTATCAAAATACAAGTCAATAGTTGGCGATAATTGAACATATTGCACATTACACTCCAGTGACTGGTGACAATGGGACAACTAGAGATTAATTTGGGAAACAGATTTGCAACATTCTCAGTAAATTAGACCTAAAGGAAAAATATTCTGTTAAATGAGAAAAAATGCAGAAAAGGTGAATGGGCCATTCAAAGAGATAAGAAAAAAATAAGAAAAAGAACTGCATATTTTATATACATGGTTTAAGCACAAGTCTTCTTATATTTATACATGGCAAAGGAATGAACAGAAAGACAAAAGTGGAGAATGTAAGGGTAAAGAGAGGTTTTGCATGTGGAATAATCTAATTTGGAGATTAGAAAGGGAAGGGAAGAACACTAACTATTGTAAGAAAAGCATATTTGTCAAAAAAGGTAAAATGGCTCCTTAGAACAGCATGTTTCTGTTCACTTTGGGGAAGTGGAAAAACATAAAGTTAAATAGAATGCAAGGAATGGAGTACTTAAAATCTGTGGGATAAAACAGGAAATGATGGGATCAAGTCTGATTGATCAGGAAGATAAACAGATTACAAAAATTAGTGACTGTAGAAACAATATTCATTAAACTGATCATATGCAGAGTGAATGAAGATCAAAGTGCAAAACAAACATGAAGAAAAAATAAATGGGTGGTGAGAATGGAAGGAAAGATCAACAGTCATGTTTATACAGATTTGAGATCTGCAAAAAGAATAATATGAAAAATCTAAAGAACAAAAGGCAGTATATGAAGCAGATATAAATAAAATGGAAGCATGTAGAATTTACAAGACTGGAGACATATAGAGACATATAATGAATGGCATTAGTGTAAACTATTTTTCCTTTTATTTTTCTTATGCATTTAATGTCTTTGGCTCATGAGTTCTTACTCCTTTTATATGCTCTGCGTAAAGTAGCTTATTATTATTAAAGGAGACAAATTCCTTGTGTGTCCAATCACACTTGGCCAATAAAGAATATTCTACTCTACTCTACTCTACTCTACTCTACTCTACTCTACTCTACTCTATTCTATTTCTTTTTATCCCAAAAGAGAACGCTGTGACAAGTATGCCCGTATGCACAATCCAATCAACGCAATTCAACAATAATAGTCTTCGTTTATTTTTTCTGTAGAAATATGAAAAGAGAATAAGACTGATTTTATTACAGGAATTATGTTTAGTACTCAATAAGGAAATTCATACCACCTTACAATTCCCACTCACCCCCAAATAGCTTTATTTACAAGACCTGTGGCACTTACTTGTCAATACAAATCTTCTCTACCTGGGGAACCAGGACCTGCAACAGCCTCATGATTGTCTGCAGGGGCAATTTTGATTTCCAAGACACCACCTGCAAAGGAAAAGGATAGCAGTGAAGAGCCAAGACTTTGAGCCAACTCAGCAAACCAATATCTGACGGGAACACTTTCATTCAAATCAAAAAATGCATCCAAATTTGTCTTTGTAGCATTTAGACTTATATACTGCTTCACCGTGCTTTACAGCCCTCTCTAAGAGGTTTACAGAGTCCCCCTATTGCCCCCAACAATCTGGGTCCTCATTTTACCGACCTCAGAAGGATGGAAGGCTGAGTCAACTTTGAGCCGGTGAGAATCAAACTGCTGGCAGTCAGCAGAATTAGCTTGCAATACTGCATTCTAACCACTGCGCCACCACGGCTCTAATTAGAACTTACTAACAATCCCAGAAATAGTTCTGCAAGTAGACGACATTTCAGTCTAAAAAGAAAGGCACCTACCAACAGTCTGTCTCTAAAGCCACTTCCCTATCCCTGACCTTGCCTTTTACTTTCACAAGCACTTTTGCGTACCATGTATTCATGATTGCTACCTGAGCTTTGGAAGATGAAGAAAAGGGACAGAGAATGACCATCTAGAGAGCAAAAATGCAGTGCTTTTCCTTCAGATGAAAAAAAAAAAGAAACAACTACCTAGGTGTAGTAGCATAACTTTCTGATTATTCCTCACATTGGGGCAGGAAAGGCTTTAAAGAAAGCAAACTCCTGTTCCACTAATCGGTTCCCCTGCCTTAGGGGGGGCCTAGCTCATTAATATACCCAGGCTTTTTATGAGCGCTTTATTTTTTACAGGGAACATCTACCTCAGAGCATACTTTACACAATTCAACCCTAAAGCTTTCTGAAAGAAAACAGCTATAGAAAATGAGAATGTTTGAGAAGCAGAGCAACCTATTTATCATGCTGGGAAGAAAAGCTGTAGATGGCAACAGGGATAACTATTCCATAATTTAAATTATTAATAGCGATCCTGCTATTCAGGAAGACAATCATCTGGGCTTTTATGAATCAGAGTTTCAACATTCCTCCTCCTCCAACTCTCATCAGTTCAATAGCAGCTGAGATGACCCAGTTTCTGATCAGGTAAAATTCAATCCATAAATAAAGTGAAAATGCTTCCATGGAAGATATATTCTCTAGCACTTTTTAAGCACAAATGGCAAAATGGGGTAATACATGTTCTTCCTCCTAAATCAGAGGTGGGGAACTATGGTCCTTTTATGATCTGTGGACTTCAGCTCCAAGAATTCCCGAGCTAGCCATGAAGTTGAAGTCCACAAGTCATAAAAGGGCCATAGTTCCCCACCCCTGCCCTAAATGAAAGCAGCAGACCATTATCACATTGGCTAAAGAGGGAAGTACTCCAGGGACTAGTAAACAGATACTATACATCACCCTCTGTGGATGATTCGACTTTCTCTTCTCACATCACAGCTTGCTTCCTTATCAAAGGAAGATAATAGGGAATGTCGCTCATGTGATTAAAAAACAAGTTATATCTCTGTATTACTCTTTAACAAGATTTGCCAGCATCGCTCACCCCTTCAGGAGTTGGATTCCACTGCCCAACTGAGGATGTGCTGGACAGACGTCGTCGATCCCGTCTGGATTGTGAGGACTCCTAATGACAGAATGCAAATTATTTTGCTTATCCATGGGCTACAACTTCCCTCTGTTGTGCACTGCTACAGATAAAATCAAACATTATTTAGCAAGGCTCTGTTTTTCAGCTTCCCAGTCCAAGATTGAGAAAGAGGGATTGGCTCAAAGTCACCCTGCTGCCTTTCTGTGTCAAATGAAGGAAACCCCCCCACTTCTACCCACTTTAATCACCAAGCTATGTGCTGGATCTTGTGTGTGTGTGTGTGTGTGTGTGTGTGTGTGTGTGTGTTTCACACATATAATCCTCAGGATGGCAACTGGAACCAGAATTGCCATTGATAAGCAATGCAATCATAAAACAAAACTTTGCATGACAGTATTATTTAGTGACGGCAGTTCAATCACTAAGCAAGGATCATGCAAGTCATTAAGCGTGGGGGTCTCATATGACCATGACTTCCAACTTGCCGTCTTCCCCACTGACTTTGTGGAACACTGACAGGGATGTTGGAAATCACGATCAAGTGACTGTGACTCACTATGACATTGTAATCACTAACCAGTTGCAAAAGCTCCCGGATTAGCAATCACGTGACTGCAGAGACACTGCAAAATCCAGTCCTCTGGGACCGGTCATAAATCCTCCTTGTTCAGCATCATCACAAGTTTGAACAATCAGTCATAAACCAAGAATCATCTATATACATACAAATGCAAATCCATACACATATTCTTATTATTGTTACTCATCCTTATGCTCATTAATTATCAAGAGGAAATATATATCTATATCCCCAACAACAGAAGAATGCTACAGTATATTATCCAGAGCCAAGTGCTTCAAGCTGAGCATAATCAGAATGCTTCAGAGATATAATTTATCTTCAAAACTGATCTCTAAAACAAGAGGCAAACAAGCAAGACCCAGGATGCCCTGAGCTGTTAGCTTTGCTATCTCTGGGATTTACTGTTGCATAAAACAATCAATCAAACCTGCATTATTTACAATTACTGTAACTTTGTTGTCATAGGCTCAGAGATTGGTATCACTTCCAATAAATTTTCTTTAAAATAAATTCATAAAAACACTTGCTTTGGGCACAACTTGTACTGTTCTATTCTCCCCAATCATGAGAACCTATCCAATAGGTTAGGAGTTTATTGCAGGATAATTCAAATGAGCAATGAGTCAAATACATATACTTCCTAGGTTGTTCCCATTGATAGGAGGGAACAAAGTGAATTTAACCACTATGTCTGGAATTTCCTAAGTTTCCTGTAAGAAAATGCAGGTTTCAAATTGAAATAAATAAAATACGCCTCAACATTCTATTAAATTATTTTCTGCACAGAAAATGTTTTCTCCAATTTTGGGGGATTTATTGATAAGGATAATGAAACCCTTGATTACCCATCTACTGTATGAAGCACCAAACATTATATTAAGATGCCATTCTGAATTGTTCAACCCTTGCTGTGTTCTTCAACCACTAGCTACCTAAAAGCAGTTTGCAAACTTACCGGATTCCAAGTTTCGGTATCGCTGGCCATGCCTGGTGGGCTTTCTTCCACCGGAGACTGAGAGGACTCTGGCTCTAGGGAGCGCATGGTCCCATCCTCTGACACCTGAGATTTCTCTGTGAGTTTGTCAATGCCTGATTTTTCAGAGGCAACATTGAGAAAGGAAAAATAAAACTGTGCAAGATCTATATTCCATTTTCCTAGTCAAGACCAGAACACAATTCTACGTAGCTACAGCAAATCTCCCTAGCACTTTGCTAAGGAAACAAACAAACAAAAAATTAAACCAGGTAGCTGGCAAAACAGACCACCTCAGATGATTTTTTTTAAAATTTTACAACAGTTTAAAATAATATATTTTGCATTTGTACGACGTGGCTACCATTTATTTTTACTTGTTCTAGACAGCCCAATAGCTTTTAAGAAAGGAGAATCCTAAATTAACAAAATAAAAATTAAACTATATGAAAGTGAAGGATAGAAATAAATAACAATCGCTTGCCATACACATCACAGAATAAAAATTCTTTACTATCAGAAACCTAGATTCAGGTCTTAAACCATCAAAGGCTTATCCAGTCTGTCTTCTGGACTAAATTAAAATCTTTTGTGACAAATACTCTGGACTGACCTGGAGTGGCTACAAGGCTGGTCTTTAGTGTTCCAGGCTCTGCAGGTGCAGCAGGCCGTGATCCTTCCATGGACATCCCCTCCTGAGAGTTGGTGCGAGAGATGGGCTCAGGAGCTTTCTTTTTGCGTTGCAAAGCTTTCTGGATGGCCTGCAAGTCAGTAGGCAGGTTGGCTAGCTGATGGAATACATTTCGCTTGCGAATAATGGCATATACCAAATTGGAATTACCTAGGAAATCACAACGACAGGAGGAGAAAAATATTGTAATAGTAGTAAAGCTGGAAGGGACCTTGGAGGTCATCTAGCCCAACCCCCTGCTCAGGCAGGAAACCCTACACCATTTCGGACAAATGGCTGTCCAGTCTCTTCTTAAAAACTTCCAGTGTTGGAGCATTTACTGCTTCTGGAGGCAAGCTGTTCCACTGATTCATTGTTCTCACTGTCAGGAAGTTTCTCCTTAGTTCTAGGTTGATTCTCTCCTTGATGAGTTTCCACCCGTTGCTTCTTGTCCTGCCTTCAGGTGCTTTGGAAAATAGCTTAATTCCCTCTTCTTTATGGCAGCCCCTGAGATATTGGAATACTGCTATCATGTCCCCCCTTGTCCTTCTCTTCGTTAAACTAGACATACCCAGTTCTAGCAACCGTTCCTTATATGTTTTAGCCTCTGTAACTTTTTAAGTTTTAGCATCTGTAACTTTCTGTAATTGGGAAACACAAATTGAAAAAGATCAGTAGATCGTGGGTAGGACTACCAGATGAGCAAAAACAAAAAACAAACCCAAGCAATCAATGGTTTCCTGCAATTTAATGGCTCTCTGAATTTTTCCAGCTTAGATCTGATAGCCCTAAACGTGAGATGAAAAGAAATTAACTATAGTTAGAACTATATGCTCAGCTCATGCTCAGGAAATAGAAGTTTGGCATTATTCTCTTCCTCCCAACCTTAGCTTCTTTCTTCATGTTAGTCAAATTATGGCCTAATGTTTTTGAATGGTTGTTCCTTCAGGTGATGGCTTCCGCTTTTTAGAATCAACCCTAGATTACTGGTAAGAATAAACTGATAAGCTATCTATTACAAAACTGATAACTTATCTGTTGCAGAACTCTGGCTGTTCAGCATTATATCAAGAAATATTTCTAAACATTATCCTAACTGATATTCCCCAGAAAGTATTTAAAAACAAAAAATTGCTTATGTTACATTGTCCAGCATTTAGGATTTCAGGCATATTTGGCTTTCTGACTAGCTAACAAGTTATTGAGAGTCTAGCTTATTCATGGCTTCTCAGACTTAGTTCCCACTTATAGAGTGAAAATTATAGAAGCATATATATGAAAAGATTTCACCAACAAGTAAAAAATCCAAAGAGGACTAAATTGCATTTTGTAGTTTAAAAATGTCATAAAGCAATGAGCAAGGAGTATTATATAGGCAACAGTGGTTATCAGTCACAGGAGTTTGTCCAATTTAAAAAAATAAAGGACCAAATTTACATAAAAACAAAACCATCGAATAGTTTATTCCAAATGTAAGTGAGAATTATATTTTACTAACCAGAAATGGCAAATCTAAGAAAGATAAAAGGGATATTTGCACCATATTTGATAAAGAAGCCTCATACTTTATACCTAGATGAATATTTATTCTTGGATAGATTAAACTATCAGAGAGGGATAACTTTTTGTTACTGATCAGCCACTCACCATCAAACTGGTACTGGATGATATTGTTGAAGACTTCCAGCAAAAAGAAGACAAGGTGGTGGTTTTGGACCATGGAGAAAAGGAACCAAGTAGTTGAAAATGCTTCCAATAGATGCAGCAATTTGTTAGCTGCTACCATGGAAAGAGACTTCAAGTATGGTGATACTAGAAGACAGAAAAATTAAAAAGTAATTTAGGGAGATCAAATATCCATTATAATTACACATTAGTGTACAATCAGTTAAGATATGGATCGTGTACACTTATTGTGCATAATACATATCTTAACACTTGCTAAGGAAAGGCACTACAAATTAATTTTATAAAGGGAAATAACAGTAATATAATATCCAAGTTCACTGAACTCTTGAACAGCTACATCAGTGGTTCTTAACCTGGGCGATATTGCCCCCCAGGGGGCGATTTCATTTTTCAGGGGGGCGATGGAATGAAAAGGGGTGACACGGGGGCGAAGGAACAAAAAGGGGGCGATATGGGGGCGATGGAGCGAGAAGTTTTGGGAACACTTTTGAGATTTTTTCGTACAGTGAATCACTGTATATCTGTCGTACAAAAACATCAGATCGCTCGCTATTAGTGGATTGAATTGTGTTTTCAAATGTTCCTCCAGCTAGCTTCAGTACAGAACGCCGTACATATGTGAATATGCATCGCTTATCTTCATGCGCGTTGCGCAGCAGCCTCTACCATACAGTGGCACGCCGTTGGCCAGAATATGGGAGATATGGGAAAAAGACTGGAAATAAATTATTTGCATTGATATGTCCTGATGACAATTTTAAAGAAAACAAAAAAAGTGTTTGCATAAATTGAAGAATTATTTCCTATGTTGTGATTGAGATGTTATGTTGGGGGAGGAGGGGCGATGATAACTTCCTCATTGGCTCAAGGGGGCGACTCGTTCAAAAAGGTTAAGAACCACTGAGCTACATCATAATGGTAAAGAAAACAAACGCCATCTACTGAGAAAAAGGCAGCATTACATCAACTCCTCAACTATTTTTAAAATTATGTCAGCTCTGAATGACACAAGTAAAACCAAGAGAGGTTCAAAACTAGGCATAGATCTCCTATTTTTTTCAACAATTACCTCCTAAAAGAGTCCTGGGTACTAAAATTAAATTTCTAAACGTGGTAAGCCGTGCATGCACGACTATACTGGTTTCAATTCTAAAGGAAAACCACGCTGCACTATTTGCTCCCAAAGTTTTGAAAATAAAAATGTATTTTAACTCTATATTAAGATTTTCAGCTTGGCTGTCCTTGTAGAGTAGGAAACTTACCATTCACTATGATGGTAAGGAGGCAGTCAAATAGGGGCTGCAACCGCTGGTGTCCACTAGTGATGATTTTATGAAAAACCTGCAGGGTAGAATGAAAGTAAGAAAGTAAACAAAAGGCTGCAGAGTTGTCGTACTATTTTTACAGTAGCTAGGTTCTCTCCTATGAGCAAAGATACTGGTAGCAAATTCCAGACTCACAATGATGAGAAGATCTGCATGTGTCCCTGTAAAGACCGGAATATCCATCGGTACTCGTACAGAATATGGCTTGTTGAGGCGGACACCAAAATTCCTTTCCCCACTCAGCAGCAATAAGATGAAGACACCAATGTGCATAAGACCAACTCGAGCTGTAAAAATATGGTGCCAAAATTAAATCTGTCAGCGGCCAGAGGGCAAGCCAACCTTTTACAATAGCAGATCAAAAACAAAATATAATGCTTACCAACATAAATATCTCACTCACATAAAAAAAAGTATGGTTCAATATCACCCATGCTGCTCTCCAGCACATAGTATAATGTCACGAAGCAGCCTGCATCTGTTGCTATGTGATTTAAGCAGAAGTCCAAATGTAACCCATATGACTCAATATGTGGATAAATACATGCGGTTGGTTTTGGTCCCAACTCAGCTCCGGCCCTTCTCCAATTAGGATCTCAAAAATCACTTTGATCTTAATCTGTCTCACAAAGTGACATGGAAATAGCTTGTGGTCTTATCTGAATTCATTCATTTGACCTTTAAAGCCTATAAACAAACACATTTCTCTGGTATGTTTTAACATTATTATTATCCAATATTGCTGGCTGCACAACCAGCCAAATATTAAGATCAGGTTTGGCATTTTTATCCACCTATCAAATCCTATAAAGAGATTATGTGTGTGTGTGTCTGTGTATGTACGTGTATATGTAAATACATACATGTGTGTGTCTGTGTCTATGTGTCTGTGTGCACGGGGAAAGAGAGAGAGAGAGAGAGAGAGAGGGAGGGAGGGAGGGAGGGAAGGAGGGAGAGAGAGAGAGAGAGAGAGAGAGAGAGAGAGAGAGAGAGAGAGAGATGGGCAACATTTTAATGGCAGAGAGTTGCACAACCCTCCTGAAAAGCTACAAAGGGATAGTTCAATGATGCCAAATTGGTGAGGTACATTGTACAGTATGCATCATGAACCAAACGGCTTCTTCAATTTCCTAGTGTTTCACAGTTAACCTCAGGCTTACATTACAGTTTCTATTTTTTCCTATCTCTAAATTGCAGAAAAGATTAAATCTGTTGATGAAGCCAAGTTCTCAAGGTCACACAAAAATTGGAGCCACAGGATACCCTTGGGATGACAAAGACCACAGATACCAGTTGGGAGTATTGGAATAGGGCCTTTGCAGTCAGATACAATTTTACCTACTCTATATTAAGGCAGGAACTGGAGAGGCTGTTTGCTATGTCACTTTTTCTATATAAGTTAGTAATGCCAGATTTGTCGTTCTGTAAATAAGCACTATAAATAATTCACTGTAAATAAGCACCAGTCATCCAGGAACTTGGATCCAAATACAATCTGTATTTATGGAATTAGTCTCAGGACTAGGGAATCAATTGGAAAGACTCCAAATTAAATTTTTCCAGCATAAGTTCTGAGAATAGATAAAACCAAACTTACATTGATCTGCTCTAGCATCGTTAAGAAAGTAGAGGATTGGCACCAGGATATCTAAAACATCACTGCTTTTCAGAACAAAGAAGAGAAATTTCTGAAAAAGAAAAAGAACAATTAAACTAAGTTGGTGGGGAGTGTCATGAAAGCTGTACAAAATAAAACTAGATCAATAGGAACTACAAGTAACAGCATGTTTATTGATGTTTTTTAGCAGGCCTGTAAAAATATTGCATTAGGGAGGGCAAAGTTGAGGATTTTGTGGAGGAAGGAAGTTCGGCTTACTCAAAGTGATTATTTCTCCGCAGACTTGGAGAAAATTGCACTCTTGGAATAAAAAAATCTCCTGAACAAAAATCATGATCTTTTCCTGATTTATTTTTGCTCTGAAGGCATCAGAGAGCAGGTAAGCATCATAATTTTCCTATGTAGGTTGTTTTCAGATGGACGTTTCTCAGGGATATTCAATAGGCCTGTTATCTGAACACAGGCAGAGATTGAGGCTTATTAAGTATGCAGCATCAGCAATGGGTCAGTGACTCTAAACAACTATTTCACTGCTGCATCATAACCCAATTTTTCAATCATTCTAATCCAAAATTGTTACTGTTGACCAGCTCACCATCACCAAGATTCTCCCCTGTGTTCATTTAACAGTCCCTGATCCTGCTCTCTCCCCTACCCCAATTCTTTAATAATGCCAGCGATAGAAGACAGAACCTTGTTGAAATCACAGAGTTTCCAGAAGAGAACCAGGAGCTCTTGATGGAACTGGATCTTTTTGGTAGAATTTGGCAGGTAAGTTTGGAGCAGAGGGTTGGAGAGCAGACGAGCCACTCCTTTCAAAACAAACTGGAAATCCTGACAACATAAAAAACATAAAGAAGTTACAACATGGAAACCCAAGATTAAGCCAATAGAACCTTTAAAAAATCTGATACATTACCTCTTCTCTGTGTATCCTAGACAGGTAATTGACAAACAGGTTGTCTGGTCCTGGAGGCTGCATTGAAAAAAGCCAAGTAAATGTTTCTTAGATTTAAAACACCTTCAGGATATGTACACTTGTCTCTGAATTCATTGGCAAATGACATTGTCACTAAATCATCAAACAATCTGGATACAATGTTAAATATTATACTACATCTGGTGCCTGTGATCCCAGATATTGGTGAACTACAATTCCCAGGAGCCTCAATCGGGACGATCAATGGCAGGTACTGGGAGTTATAATTCAGCAACATCTGGAGAACCTTCACTATGCTAAGCATTAGGATAATGGCTGCTTATCGTTTTAGGAAATAAATAAAAAATAGGTTTAATATTTCATATTTTTAAAAATACAGCATAGATTAATTAGTTCATTTGCTTTCATCAGAAAGCAAATGCCTAAAGTGCTCACGTCTCTGTTCATTTATGGATATTATGAATACCTCTCTCCAGTATGCAGTACAGCGAGGAAACAGAAGAAAATTTAAATATTTATGCTAGTAATGCAGGGAATGAAAAGGTCTGAATTAATAAATATGCACATGGAAAAGGAATTCAAATCAATTTGATATTAAGAAGGCAAATGTACATCTTTAAGCACTTAAGAGACAATGTCTCAGATCCATCACATTGCTTTAAGATACAGGTAGTCCTCAACACTTATAACAGTTCATTTAGTGACCATTCAAAGTTACAACAGCATTGAAAAAAGTGACTTATGACCATTTTTCACACTTACGACCATTGTAGTGTTCCCGAGGTCATGTAATCAAAATTTAGACACTTGACAACTGGTTTATATTTATGACAGTTGCAGTGTCTCAGGGTCATGTAATCACCTTTTGCAACCTTCTAACAAGCAAAGTCAATGGGGAAACCAGATTCACTAAACAACTGTGCCACTATCTTAACAACTGCAGTGATTCACTTAACAGCTGGGTAAAGAAAGGTCATAAAATGGGGCAAAATTCACTTAACAAATGTCTCACTTAACAACAGAAATTTTGGGCTCAATTGTGGCCGTAAGTCGAGGACTACCTGTACTTGATAAATGCTTGCTTAAAATGAAATCAGAAAGATGGGTAAAAATCCATTTTCATGTTTGAGCCCAAACATCTTCCAATGTTTCAGGCCAATTATCCGGATTCTTGGGTGCCAAGGAAAACTACCATTTGAGAGAAGAATTTAGCACCATCTTTCCAGGGTTGCTTATGTACGATAAAAGCTTCCATTGAATGGTGATTTGCTTTAAGAAAGCCTGTTGAGGTTTAATACGCATATCTGCTGCTCCTCCACATTATAAACACAGCTAAGTCAGGGAGCAACTCACATCGGTATCATCCATGACTGTTCCAGTGGTAGTGCCGTCTACTGTGGGACTGGAGCTGGTAGAAGTGTCGTAGTCCAATGTGACTATAAGGACTTGAGCGGCCTGCTCCACCAGTGGTTCACGATAGTCCGAGAAGAGCAAGTGGTTATAGGGGATCCCATAACCCACTGGATCGTAAGCACAGACGATATTCAAGAGGGAAGTAAACAGCGGAAGGGCATGCCTAGAAGAGGATCCAACATGCTCAAAACAATGCATCAGAAGCCTGAAGTGCTAAAAGCTTTCCAACGAAGAATAAGCCTTTATTTTATTTGCACTGATTAAATAGTGTTTTTATTCCTCAGCAACATTCATTAGTGAAAAAAAAACACATTTGAGGTTATTATTCTTAGTTATTTTAATAAATGAGATAACATGCTATCTAAATGATAATACAGATTAGAATATCCTATTTTGCTTTCCACTATGGCTGGGTGGCTGCAAATGAATCAGCCATTGTCACATATTTAAAAAAAAATAACCCAACTCTTTCTAAAAAAATTTCTTCAATGCAATTTATAATAAAAAGAACCCATTCGTATTGCACAATTTGCTAATTATTGCAAACTGCTTGTTTTAGAGTGCTTCCTGTCTTAAGGACAAATGTTTAGTGTACTACTAGGGTGAGCTGGAGGCAGCAAGATCTGGGGTTACATGCTTTTCTGCTGACTCTATCATGGAAGGGTTAGCAGCTGTGTGGATGTTCTCTAGTATTCCAAAACCATCCACTATTTGGATCAAACGCTGGTTGGCTCCAATTAGGCAAACATAGCCCTAAAGACATATGTATGTACTGAAGTAATAAAGAAAAAAATAACAGAAGGCATAAAGTGAGGAGAAATGGAATGACATCTATCATATATATGCAATCCTTTTAATAGAAGAAGGTTTAGATTAAATCAGTGGTTCTCCACCTTTTTAATGCTGCAACCCCCAACCAGTCATAAGTCAAGGACTAAACCAGTTGTAAGTCGAGGACTAAACCGGTCGTAAGTCGAGGACTACCCAACCAGTCGTAAGTCAAGGACTTTCCCTGCCCGGGAGCACCGCGCATGCGTGGTGCCACCCCGTGCGCCGGCCGAGGCGTAGCTGTCAAGCGGCAGAGACAGAGCAGGCCGACCACCGGCTGGGCCACCAGCTGGCCCAGCCCAAGGGAGGTAAGGCACCTGCCGGAAAAGGGGAAAAAATGGCGGACAGCCTTGCTTGGCGACCCCCGTGAAATGGTCGATCAACCCCAAATGGGGTCGCGACCCATAGGTTGAGAACCGCTGGATTAAATAAAAGTGTTTCAAAGCATCTGTCACATGGAATTTGCTATTTCTCACCTGTTCTCTATAGAACAGAAGAACTGGACCCAGGGATTAGTGTTGCTGCTATCAGAGGAAGGAGGCAAGTACATGACCTCTGAGAAACAGGTCAGCAGAAGTTTCAGTAGCTCTGTCCTGTAAAGTATTTCAGTCAGCGGGAATATTAATTATTATTCACAGTCATGATTTTTTTTGCCATTGTATTATTTGCACCTTATTTTGCAGGAGCACATTTGTTAAACTGTTTTAAAAAAAATTGTGCTAAAACTAGAGTGAGGTATTCTTACAGTAAGACTTCTTAAAGAAATACTGTACAATTCAAGTCCTTTTAGCCACCATGAGGAACAAAAACATTTCCTTGTTTACTACAAACATGTTTATTACAAGAAGTCAGTACTGGAGAGAGACTATCAAGCTAGGGGAGGAGTCAAATGGGGAATTAATCTGGAACTCCTATGTGGATACAAAAGGGTGAAGTCTGATCTCCCCCTTGAATGCCATTGAACCTTATCTAGTCTTACCCAGGTGCAAACCATCAATCTGAGAAGATTCCTGTGTATACGCTTGAGCAGGGGTGTTAAAACTTGGCTTGTGGATTTCAACTCCCAGAATTCCTCAGCCCTGGGCTTGAGCAATAAAACAGCTAATTGAAGTCTTCACCTGTGGATCTGGTTGTTCAGACTTCACAGTCAGCTTATTCAAGTGGATATTCTGCTTAGCTCCATCCCAATCAGAGTTTATGTACAGTAGCTACAGAAAACTAACAATGAAGTAAAAGATAACAAACTATGCAGTCATTTATAAGACATAAAAGCTGGCTGGCTGACCTTGGGCTAATCACTGGCTCTCAGCCCAACTCACCTTAAAAAAATGTTTCTCCTTACTCAGGGATGAGCATTTTACTTTGTACACAATGCTCATGATCTTGCCGCAATTACATTCATAAACTTCCCTTTAGCCTGATCTGTCATTTGCTGATGTCCTCACCTATTTAAATCATGGCTGAAGTTGGGTGACGGTGAATGAGCAAATCCAACACCAGCCTCCCAGATGTATTCACAACTATCAATTGCATGGATATCCTCAGCGGTGTCCTGGAAAAGAAAAAGAAATTAACACATCAGATACTGTCAAACTCCAGGTAAAAAGTATGAATAGGATTATGCAGATGGAAAAAAACAATGATCGGCATCACAGAATTAGAGGATGCTTCTAGCATTACTAATTCAAATCATGTGGTGCAGTCTTTCCCACCTTAATGGATTTTCTACAAGACAAAGAAAGGTGAAAGAAACATAGAAAGACATGAGATGTTTATAGTGTTGTGTGAATGAGGCATAGTAGTTGCACAATAAAAGTCTCGTGGAGAAACTCAGAGCATCGTATTATATTACAATAAATGTCAAAAATCCAAATGACAGAATGAGGATGGCTCCCCTATCAGCAAAGCATAGAATGAATAGCCAGCAAGTAAACCAGCTCTTTGTAATTCCTCTCCAAGCAAGGAGAAAACTTGAGACCACCCACAAGTGTTCCAAGCAGTTGCTACTTGCGTGGAAATCACAAGGCAGGGGTCTTTAGCAGGTTTAGAGCACTTAGAGATGAGGGAATAGCCATCTTTTTGCTCATCATTCATTCTTTCGTTTGTTTGTTTTGTTTGTTTATCAAATTTATATGGTTGTCAATCTCACAAAAAGTGACTCTGGGCAGTCTGCAACAATTAAATAAAACAATAAACATATTAAAAACAGCTAAGTGAAAATAGTTCAACAAACATCCACCCAGATTACACATGCTTCTGATGAGGTGAACTTTGGTCTGCAAAAACTAAGGTATAATATGTTTCCACAGATCTTTTCAATATTTCTGCCTAATCTTAGTGAAAGATGACATATTCAGGAAGGTCCTATCATCAAATGCATCCCAAATATAAAGGTGGGGATTGTTGTTTCAGAATTAGTCATACTGTGGCCTAGAGATATACTGTATGAGTCATTATTTTGCAGAGTCCAGTTCTACAGGTTTGCTATACTATGCAAGAGTTTTCTATACTTGTGAACAGAAATCTTACAAGTAAACTTCCCCACAAAGACCAAGACTACAAGCATTGAATTCACAATCTTCTCATCCATAGTGTCCATAAACAATAATAGCTATGCTTTAAAAATCTTCTTTAGGGTTGCATATTATGTTTGTGTGTGGCAATGCAATGCAATGCAAGAAAGGAAGATTAAAATCTATTGCATTGCAGTAGTATCTCTTCTTTCTAAAATCCCCTCAAGATTGGTGACAAAATTCAGAGTAAGTCAGAATTTTGAAGAGTTCTGGTTTGTTGTTATTAAGAAATATACTGTTCCGCAGATTTTACATGCTTTTTTGTTATCAAATACGGAATCCCCATTCGTGATTTGATTTTAGTGTTACATGCGAGCCAGAATCTGATGTTGTTCCTATTATAACAAGCTAGAAGTTTAACAAGTCAACTCTTGATTTAAAATCCTAGATGGTTAGAAAAGCAACATGAACCCAATTTCAGTTTGTTTAAAATAATAGTAATAATATGAGCAATGGTTCCCAGTTGGTATAGCTACTTCTGTTGAAAGATAAGCCATCAGGACTCCAAAATTCTCTCAGTCAAGCCATGCCCTGATCAACTCCCATGTGAATTACTACAAAGTGCTCTGCAAGGGGTACCCTTAAAAGGTATCTGCAGAATGCAATGGCATAGACAGTTTGGGGCACTTCTAGGTGCACATATGCAAGATCTCCGCTTTGTGGTCCAGTTCTAAGTGTTGGTGATCACTTTTAAAACTCTCCATGGCATGGGACTAGATTACCTGAGAAACAGCCTTATCCCAATTATATCAGCCTTTCCCATCTGGTCAGGCAGGAAGGGCATGTTTCAAAATGAAATTCAATGGTGAAAAGGGGCGTTGTCTTACCTGAACGCCTTTTCTCAGCAGGATGATGTAGAGTCCAAATGGATGGGTTCTATGACGGCCTTCCTGCCTGGCAGACTGGGTAAAAACTTCGGCCACACCCCTTCCTTTGGGCGTGACCCCAGTTTTGACTTAGGCGAGAAACTTTGTTGGAATTAACCTTGCAGCTCTTTATTATATCTTTATTATATCCCTGCCTAGACCTATCCTCTGGGTGGGCTTGGACTCTACATCATCCTGCTGAGAAAAGGCGTTCAGGTAAGACAACGCCCCTACTCCAGCAGGATGACTGTAGAGTCCAAATGGATGGGACATACCAAAGCCCTCATGTCCCCCTGGGAGGGAATGTCTAGGCTACCGAACTCTGAGCAGATACGACCTGTTGAAGAACTCTTCTGCCAAAAGCCGCGTCTGCTGCTGCGAGGGAGTCTAAACGGTAGTGTCGAATGAAAACCGAAGGTGAGGACCAGGTTGCGGCCCTGCAAATCTCTTCCACCGGAGCTTGCGTTAGCCACGCCGCAGATGTGGCTGCGCTCCGAGTTGAGTGTGCAGTCACCTGAGTGGGTGCTGGCAAATCCTGTGAGACGTAGGCCTGCGCTATGCAGGCTCTGATCCACCTGCCTATGGTGGAAGAAGATACCTTCTTTCACATAGTTGATGGTTGAAAGGACACAAATAATGCTTCAGTCTTTCGGAAAGCCGAGGTGCGTTTCACGTAGAAACACAGTGCTCTCCGTACGTCTAGCTTGTGACATCTGTGTTCTAGCTTATGTTTGGGTCTTGGACAGAAATCAGGAAGCGTAAGTTCCTGAGATCTGTGAAAGGTGCTATTTACCTTCGGGATGAAGGTCGGGTCTGGTCTAAGAAAGACCCTGTCTTTGAAAAAGGTACACAGATCCTTCCTTACTGACAGAGCTGCTAGTTCTGAAATTCTCCTTGCCGAAGTAATTGCCACAAGGAAAGCTACCTTCAGTGATAGGTGATGGAGTGAGCATGTTTCAAGAGGTTCGAAGTGTGCAGATGTCAAGGCTAGAAGGACCCTAGGCAGGTTCCAGGACGGGTACCTGTGTATGACTGGGGGCTTTGTGTTAGACGCCCCTTTTAAGAAGGCATTAATCGCTGGATGTTGTGCTAGGGAAGTTAAGTTGTCGCAGGAGAGTACGGTTGAGAGGGCCGAAATCTGTCTGCGGATGGTATTGACTGACAGGCCCCTATTAAGACCCTCCAATAGGTAGTCTAGGATATTGGGGATAGATACTGCGGTCGGGTCTAGGTGAAACGAAGCGCACCACCTACAGAATCCCTTCCATGTAGCGTCGTAAATCCTATTGGTGGACGCCCTTCGTGATGCCTGTATGATCGATATCACCCCTGCAGAATCAGATTGTTTAGTTAAGCTTTGCCGCTCAAATGCCAAGCGGCTAGTTGTAGCCACTGGGGATCTGGGTGTACAAGCTTGCCCTGACTGAGTTTTACCCTGTCCGGGGGAATCCTCCACGGAGGTGATATCGAAAGGTCCACGAGGTCGGCAAACCACTGGCGCCGTGGCCAGTGAGGGGCAATGCAGACCATTTCTGCGCCCTCCAGGATCATCTTGCGTATGGTTGCCGGTATTAATGGCAGTGGTGGGAAGGCGTACAGGAGTTGCGCCGGCCACCGGCACCTGAGAGCATCCGGTCCCTCCGATCCCGGGGACGGGAATCTGGAGAAGAACCTGGGGAGTTGTGTGTTCTTGTGGTTGGCAAATAGATCTAGGTGCGGTTGTCCGAACCTCCAGGAGATCTCCTCGAAGAGAGCCGGGTCCAGACGCCATTCCGACTGGTCCACCTTGGCTCTGCTCAGGGAGTCCGCCTGGGTGTTTGTTTCCCCTGAGATGTGTTCCGCTCTGATGGAACTCACATTGGCTTCTGCCCACCGAGCCAGACCCAATGCTTCTTTCATTAGTTCCACTGATCTCGTTCCTCCCTCCTTGTTTACATGTGCCTTGGCTGCTACATTGTCTGTAAGCACGAGGACGTGTCTCCTCGTTACTAGGTGTGAGAAATGACGGAGGGCCAGGTGTATGGCCCGGAGCTCTAGCCAGTTGATGCTGTGTGACAGGTCCTTCTGACCCCACTGGCCCTGTGCTATCTGGGTCCCCAGATGGGCTCCCCATCCGAACAGGCTCGCATCTGTCGTGAGCGTGACCCTGTTCGGTTCCCTGAATATGCTCCCCTTGAGTGTCATAGGGGATAGCCACCATTTTAGTGATTTCATCACCTGTGCTGGTACCAGCACACTCCTGTTGGAGGTGCTGAGGTTCCTCCTCTGGTAGGGTAGGAGGAACCACTGCAACTCACTCGAGTGGAGCCTTGCCCATGGGATGATGCCCATGCAAGATATCATCTTCCCCAGGAGCTTCGAGAGTTGTAGCAAGGGCACTCTCCTGATCTTTTGAATTTGGTGGATTAGCTTGGCTATGCTGATCAGTCGCTCCTGGGAAAGGAATACCCTGCACTGTGACGTGTCTATCACCGCGCCCAGGTGTTGCAGTCTCCTTGAGGGAATGAGGTGGCTCTTGTTTAGATTGCCCGAAAATCCGTGCCCCTGTAGGGTTCGGATTGTGGTCTTGAGATCTGTCCTTGCTTGTTCCCGAGATCTGGACTGAATCAAGATGTCGTCCAGATAACACTGGACGCGAACCGGAATCAACCTGAGATGGGCCGCTAGTACAGCTAAGATCTTTGTGAATACCCTTGGTGCTGACGACAGTCCGAAGGGTAATGCCCTGTATTGGTAATGTCGCCCCGCGTAGGTAAATCTGAGGAATTTCCGGTAGCTGGGGTGGATGGGGATGTGTAGGTACGCCTCTGTGAGATCTATTGAGGATAGTAGATCGTCTTCCCTGACGCTGGCTAGTATGGACTTTAAGGAGTGCATCTTGAACCTCCTGTACTTTATGAAAGAGTTCAGGCCCTTCAGGTCCAAGATTGCTCTCCACCCTCCTGATGTCTTTGGGATGACGAAGAGGATAGAGTAAAATCCTCTTCCCTCCTCCTCCTTTGGTACATTCTCTATGGCCTGAATTGACAGGAGGTGGACTATAGCCGAAGTTATCAGCCTCGTCTTGTGTGCTCTTCTGGAGATGGGACATCTGATGAACCGGTTTGGTGGGGGAGAGCAGAAGTCTAAGGTCAGGCCATGTCTGATCGTTTCCAGGACCCAGGAGTCGGTCGTGGTCTGCTCCCATACCCTGATGAAATTTCCTAACCGACCCCCAATGGGAGTATCCTGTTTGGCGTCACTTGGTGCGTTTAAAGGATCTGCCTCCCGCTCCCCTATATGGGCGTCTGGACTGGAACTGGCCCCTGGCTCCCGGGCTCTGGCGATCCTGGGTTCGATCCTGTCTGGGGTAGAAGGATCGTGAGCCTCTGGGCCAGTCCCAGGATTGCCCTGATCGAAAGGGCTGCTTCCATTCCCAGGGGCTTCCTGGGCGGGAACCCTGTCTCCGGAAGTCCTGACTGCCTCTCCTGTCTAACTTCTTTGATGGGTGTACTAGGATTTTTTTCTTGTCTCTGCCTTCGCTGACATGTGGGTCCAGAATGGAACCAAATAGGTCTACTCCACTGTATTTGGACGTCGAAAGACGCCATTTGGACCTCAGGTCTGTCTTCCAAGTTTTGAGCCATAGTAGCCTACGTGAGGCCACTGTGGCCGCAATGGATCTAGCCGCATACTTTGTTGCGTACAGTGAAGCGTCTGAGACAAATTGCGAGGCCGCGAGGAGCTTGGCCAATGTTTGGTGTATTCTGACCTGGTCTGGAGGCACCGTGCCTTGCAGTTCCCTCAGCCACATGATGCTGGCCCTCGCGAAGAAAGATGAGGAAGTGGCTGCTCTGGCCGCCCAGGCTGCAGCCATATGGGAACGCCGGAGTGAGTGTTCAAATTTCTTCTCCTCAGGCCTCAAGACCTCCGCCATGTCTCCTGGAATCGCGGAGGTAGAAAATAATGAGATTAATGGGTTATCGACAGTGGGAACCTCTAACATGTTAGAGAAGGAGGGAGATAGATTGAAAAGCTTTCTTTCCGCGCTGTTTGGTGCCGGTGGGCTTGCAAGTGAGGACCATTGTTCCTCCAGCGTGGTCATGAAGACCTCCGCACATGTGATGTACTTATCTTGTGGAACCTTTTTGGCAAACAGAGGATTGGCCTCCTTGCTTGTTGAGGGCTTCTCATCCTGTACTGATGTTAGGTTGACTGTGGAAACAGCCTTTACCAGGAGTGATTTTAGGAGCGCTGGGTTAAAGAGTCCAGAGCTCGTTGCCTGCTCAGGTGCCGTCTCCTCGTCCTCCGAGAGGGGCATGTCTGACATGTCGAGGTCCACTGAGTCACCCTCTCCCAGTTGAGAGGAAGTTTCAGAGGTGCTGGTAGGGGGTGGCCTAGCCCGACCCTTACGGGGTGTGTGAAAGGCCACTTGTCCCTTAGAAGCCATGAACTGGGAGAATGCATCCTGCATGAATGCATGGAATTGTGCCGACCAAATGCCCTCCTGCGCTTTGTCGTTAGAGTGAGGCGCTGGGGTGCGGTCGGGTGAAGAAGCTGGTGAGGAGGGGTTGGAGGAGTCTAACTGTTCAGTTTCCCCAGGAGGAGACCAAGTCTTAAGCACTTCCTCGGCAGTAGGGTCTGTGCTGGGTGCCACCGCTGGGACAGGGGAAACCGAATTTGTCCCATTGGCATTGGTTCTCTGTGCCCTGCTAATTTGTCTTTCTAAAGCCAAATGTCTCCTCAAAGCCTCTCGCTCAGCCGTTTTAGACTGTCCCTTCTGAGAAAGGTGCTTTGTTTTAGCTTTCTTCTTCCCCCCCACCTCTGATTCAGAAGATCTGCGTTTTTGTTGTTGCTGTGGGGGGGACAATTGAGGGACCTGTGTGACTGAATACGAGACATTGTCTGCCATTGTGCCAGACACCCCGAGTAGGCAATGCCTGGAAAGGGGGAATGAGATACGCAGATCAGATGCAGATGCTTGGGGCTGTGCCCTCTTCTGCCTATACAAACAATGGCCGGACAGACAGGACTCTTTGGACAGAAGATCCTGCAAGGCAGTGACTAAAGGTCACTATAGGAACAGTCAGAGAAAAATACTCCTCCTCACCTCCTCACTTAGTCCAGAGACAGTGCAGTTTATACCTCTCTCTCCCCCTGTCTGTGGCTGTGGCAGCAGACCACGATCAGAAAGGGTTCTCTTCCTTTTCCCTCTTCCTTCCTCCTGTCTCAGTTTCTTGCGATAATCCCGGATTTTAGCTTAAGGGCTGCCCCTTTGTCTGCAAGGGAATGGAGTCCGGATGGCCCCGCCCCCAAGGGAAAACGGCGGGAAGGTCCGTTCGCTCAAAATGGCGAATGGGGAAGAAACCACGCCTCCTAATGTTAGCCCGGGAATCCACGAGGTTCAAACAATGGCGGATCTTTGACTCTGAGGCTCTCGCGCCGCTCCGCTGGTCTATGCCGAGCGGCGCCGCGGTTTAGCCGCTTTCCGCGCTGCTCAGCTGTTTCGCGCTGAGCGGCGCCTCGTTCTATCGGCCCCAATCACGCTTTCCGCGCGGCTCAGCTGTTTGGCGCTGAGCGGCGCCTCGTTCTATCGCCCGAACCGCTCAGCTGTTTGGCGGCCCCGGAGAGCGGCGAGCAATCCGGTAGTGAAACCCCCGCCCCCACAGCTGCTCGGTGGGCCGGTTATCGGCGGGCGAGCGATCCGGTCCGGCTCCAAGCCTCCCGTTAGTCCCTGACGCCCCACTCACGAATCCGCCGATCCCGGCGGCCTCTCTCGAGTCCTATCCGCTGCCAGACAAATTTTCGTTCAACTGGAGGAAGAGGGGATTCCCTTTTTTTTTTTTTTTTTTTTTTTTTTTAAGTTAAGTTAGTTTGTTCTGAGAGCTGCTTCTCGCACTTCTACCAGGCTTCGAGACTGAGTCAAAACTGGGGTCACGCCCAAAGGAAGGGGTGTGGCCGAAGTTTTTACCCAGTCTGCCAGGCAGGAAGGCCGTCATAGAACCCATCCATTTGGACTCTACAGTCATCCTGCTGGAGAAAAGCAAGGTTCTACATTTAGGCAAGAAAAACCAAATGCACAAGTACAGCATAGGTGGCACCATGCTCAATAGTAGTAACTGTGAGAGGGACCTCGGAGTCCTAGTAGACAATCACCTAAATATGAGCCAGCAGTGTGCTGCAACTGCCAAAAAGGCAACACAGTGCTAGGCTGCAGTAACAGAGGGATAGAATCAAGATCACGTGAAGTATTAATGCCACTCTACAATGCCTTGGTAAGGCCACACTTGGAATACTGCATCCAGTTTTGGTCACCACGATGTAAAAAAAGATGTTGAGACTCTAGAAAGAGTACAGAGAAGAGCAACAAAGATGATTAGGGGACTGGAGGCTAAACATATAAGGAACGGTTGCGAGAATTGGGTATGTCTAGTTTAACGAAGAGAAGGACAAGGGGGGACATGATAGCAGTATTCCAATATCTCAGGGGCTGCCATAAAGAAGAGGGAATTAAGCTATTTTCCAAAGCACCTGAAGGCAGGACAAGAAGCAACGGGTGGAAACTAATCAAGGAGAGAAGCAACCTAGAACTAAGTAGAAACTTCCTGACAGTGAGAACAATTAATCAGTGGAACAGCCTGCCTCCAGAAGCAGTAAATGCTCCAACACTGGAAGTTTTTAAGAAGAGACTGGACAGCCATTTGTCCGAAATGGTGTAGGGTTTCCTGCCCGAGCAGGGGGTTGGACTAGATGACCTCCAAGGTCCCTTCCAACTTTACTATTATTATTATTATTATTAAACCCTGACAGCTAAAGAATTTCAACTGGCGGGGATGGGGCTCTCATCTTTCTGGCCTTCTGGAAGAACGTTAAAAACTGGTTCTGTCAACTGGCAAGGGGATCCCTGTGGTGACTGATGACTTGAATTCATTCCCTCTGATTTGTTTTTTTAACTCCTGTCTTTTTAGCTCTGTTTTTTTAACTCTTTTAACTTTGTCTTTTGTATGGATTTTATAGCTTATCTATAAACCACTCGATAGTTAGATGGGGAGTATATAAATTTGATGAATAAATAAAATGGCAATAAATGAATCACATGGGTCAGAATTCCCCATTCCTCCATTTTCCATAATAGCTGGTCACCATCTTTAACAAAGATTGATAGCCCAAGGCAATCACTATTTCACTTACTGAAAATTCCAACTTAATCCAGACAGCTCAGCGATTGCACTGGACTGTATACAAAAAAATATTATAGCAGTAAACGTTTTTTGTTGACAGTTGACCTTGGCCATCTTAAATATTGAGGCTGTCATACGAGATCTTAAACAACCAAAGTCTGACTTACCACATTGTTTTTTCGATGGCTCTGGACCGTGAACTCTGGACAGAAGAGCAGATCTGCAATGGCTAGAAGTAGTGACTCAGCCAGTGGCCTGGCATTTTCATCATCGTCATCTCCCTATAAATCAGCAATAAGTTACAATATTTCATATCTGACCTTACATCATTGCAGACCACTGCTAACATAAGGCGGGGAGTAAGAAAATCTGGATGATAATTCTTTAACTATTTATTAAGCCAGCATCAATACTGATGCTTGATGTCATACAGGTAGTCCTCGACGTACGACCACAACTGAGCCCAAAACTTGTTGCTAAGTGATGCATTTGTTAAGTGAGCTTTGCCCAATTTTACGACCTTTCTTGCCACAGTTGTTAAGTGAAGCCCTGCAGTTTATAAATTAGTAACCCGGTTGTTAAGTGAATCTGGCTTCCCCATTGACCTGGCTTGTCAAAAAAAGGTGATTCACATGGCTCTGGGACACAGCAACGGTCATAAGTATGAACCAGTTGCCAAGCATCTGAATTTTGATCACATGATCATGGGGATGTTACAAAGGTCATAACTGTGAAACATGGTCCTATATCACATTTTTCAGTGCCACTGTAACTTTGAACTGTCACTAAACGAACTGTTACAAGTCAAGCACTACCTGTATTATAACACATGGAAAAATGGCATTTACATAAGCCAGGAGTTTCATTAGACTACAGATACTGTAAGATTTAACTACTCGGGGCAAAATTTAAGCAGACTGAACTACCATGACTATGAATTACTGTAGTTTGATTTAGATTGGCTTCGATTCATGATCTTTCATACAAACAGAATTTCAGCAAAGCATGCAACTTCATTTGCTATGCTGCAGCTTGTGTGACCAATATACAATAGAAGTAGAGATTACTTATAGAAGAGATGCTTGCTGAGACCAAAATATCCTCCTGCAGAGCACCCTGAGTGCTTCAAGGCTTTCAAATCAAGCTCCGTCCTTTTGTCTCAATGCTGACGCTTCACTCCACATTTACAACAGTTTCCAAGGGAACCATGTATCCTCGTCAGCAGGTCTCTAGCTCATTTCCCCCCCCCCCCATACTCATCCCGGATCTCATATTCTTGTCCCCTCCCTGTGCTGAAAAAAATGACAGGTGCTTATCTGCGACAGCCAGGCTGTATCAGCTTGTGCATGACATAGAGCCTTTCACTCACAGCAAGCAGACTGGATTATAATAATAACCTCTGTTGATCTGACGTTATCTAGTGCCGCATTAGAACATCTAATAAAAGTGTTTCAAACGCAGAAACGGTTGCAAGACATTAAAAAAAATCAACTGCAGACACTTTCATTTAGCTTTGAAATTAGAGAAGGAAAAAGGAGCCATAGAATCATAAAGGTTAAAAGCATGAATCAGTTAACTAAAGAGATCATTTTATAACTTCATCAACCCCATCATAATGAGGATATTTAAAACAAAGCCATGCCACACATAAAAAAAACGCTGTTCAGCACTGATTAATAACTGGTTACAATTCTACATTAGATTCTCCTGCTCAGTAAAATAAACAGAAAACACTATCATTATTGTATACTTTTAAATTTTGCTCGGCTCAATGCAACTAGCTGAGAAGTGTATTTATAGAATTTACTGAGTGAAGATTAATCTGTTATTTAACAAATATCAAGCATTTTCTTGCATTTGTAATATTTAGTAAAATAATAAAGAAGCCCTCGAGTTGAATTTAGCATTGTAATTGGATCTTCTATGCAAACATTTTATGGAAATGTTTTTTACACTGTCATTTTTTTTTGCAGGGGGGGATCATATTTTCCAAACTGGTCTACCCTCTCTCTATGTACTAACCACAGTTTATCCTGCTTAGCTTCTGAGATCAGCAAGGACAGCTGGAGGTTGCCACCTGCCAGATTAATTATTTAAAATGTTTTAAAAAGCAACACATTTAAATCAGCTGCATGGGTTTGAGTGATTCCAAGGTAAAATAGGATGTAGGGAAAATCCAGTGAGCTGGCAGCCAATGCAGATATGTAAGTCATAGCTGCAGTCAGGACAATTTGCAAGTGAACAAGGAATAAAATTCTGTTCTATTTTCATATTGATTAATGACTGTTTGCTTTTTTTGTCCCCTCACATTTTCTGTTTCAATACAGAATTAAGACAGGAATTTGTGCTACATCCTGGTAAGGGGAATTTGACAAGAATGGCTGATGTATTAAAACTATTTCAAAATTAAGAAAAAAAATCTGAGAAATCATATTACAAGTATAGATGGCTGTGTCGTGTATGCATATTGGCACATCTTTTTTTAACACATTTTATTGTTTTTTTTAAATTCTTAAGAAAAAGTACTAGAATTGATAATTTTTTGTTTTAAATTTAAATTATTGTAATTGTAAATTGATAAAGTAATAATACAGGTTCAATAGTAATAGAAATTTAAAATAGAAATGGAATATTTAAATGTACTATGTTAATTGAGGGGAATAGAGAGGGGATAGTGAAATCTATTGAGTTGTGTTGTTTATATATGTTTTTACTTTTGAATGTTTGATCACCCAACCAACACGGTGGGTCCTGAGTACTTTTTCATATTGGCACATCTTGAAAGTGTCTGAATGATTACATTTAAACCAAGATTAGAATTCCAGTCGCATTCTTTGACAAGAACTAGAAGAAACATGGAACTTGAAGAAAAATGATTCATACAGGTGTTTCCAGATGACAGCAAAACATTTTTAACATTACTATAGAATGAAAGCTGCTCAATCCTAATTACACACTTCTTAATTACTGTCAGGAGCATTCAAAAGAGTAATTATGAAGATTTTTATTTATTTAGTAACCAGATGATCCAAAGGTGGGTAAAAAAATTGATTAAAAATATTTGAAAAAGAATTAAATCATTACTGGTGGGGAGGGAATGAAATAAGAATCTGGATTCAGTCTTTCTGTATCTGAGTAGAGCAATTTTTGAAAGAATCCTCAGGCATATTGTTTTGGAGTTATAATGGTTCCTGATGCTTCAATAACCATACTTTTTATGTGAACGTGCATACCTTGTGCATGTACTTTGATCACAAAACTCTACACGGGCATCAATTTCAGTTCTCACACAATTCACACAAGATACTGTTATGTGAAGTTTAAGGATAGGACAAGAATTTTAACGATAGGACACTGGGCAGAAGGCAAGCAGAGAAGATATGGTAGGGATTCATAGCCATCACACACAAATAATGCCTCCACATTAGACAAGCCAATAATGGGATACATGCCAAGCCTGTGCTGCAACTATAACAAAAGTTATTAAAATTCATGTACAGTAAAACAGCTCTTTCAATTGCTGTACTGGGAACAATAATTAAAGGCAATGGTTTAGAATGAATATATTCTGGATATTCAGGAATAAATATAAAAGCATGCAGTGAAACATACATAAAAGGTTAGTACATGTACACAGTGTTGGGCTTCGCTTCCACAAAATTTCCAAGTTCCAAAGATAGGTAGAACCACGACAGAACGAAGATCTTACAGTTCAGTAAATGAATGTAGGATAGGAATATTTTTACGTACTGTGAAAATGTTTTTTCATCTCACAGAGTGTATAAATGGACTGAACCACTAGAACTAATGACCTCTTGATTCTTTGATCCTGTCTATGTATGACTAAGAAAATATTATAATGCTTGCTATTTGCCTGAAAATCAAAATAACTCCTAGAAAATTAAATGTTTAGTCACGTATATGTTTACATTGTTTTTCTAGTGTAAAACCTGTGTTTGTTCATTTCATTTTCTTTTCTCTTAGTCCTGTTTGAAGAATTAACTTTAAAATGGTCCAGGCTTCATTTGGACTTTGGTTGCTTTTTGCTACTGTTCCAAAACTTTCCCTTGAAATTCCCATGGGTGGAAATTCAATTTTAATAGTACTATAAAAATCCTGTGATAAAAACAGATTGTTCATTCATCAGCCTTCCATTCATGAGTCTCAGTCCATCTCCCATGCAAGGATATTGAAGCATTTTTCTAATAGGCAGAAATCAAAAAAGGATCAGAGCCAGACAAATTACACAGGCCAAATATGCCCACGCTTGGTAAGAGTCCCTCACTGTGAATAAATATAATCCAGCAGGTAAGAAATTTAGATTCCCATTAACTCCCTTTGATAAATGAACAGCTCTGGCTTCTGCATCTTCTCCACTCTCCAGAAAAGCAATAGTGCAATTTAATAAATACATACCCCTCCTCGCCCCGCCCCTGGAACAGTTGACCAGAAGAAACCTCTCCAATCAGGATCTTCAAATATATATGGTAGGATGCGGGTTAAGAGACGGCTGCAATTCAGGACAATCTGCTTTTCTTTCTCAGAGTGACAGCCACTCTCAGCCCCCTGCACCAGTTTTTCCACTGCCTGGAGTGAATTAGAATAAAGCAAAGGACAACAATTATTGGTATGCGGGTAACAATTTTTGCCCAATACCTTAGGTTTCTGAATTACCAACTAAAGACTTAATAGCACAATGAATAGGCAATCATTTTATATTGTTGCTCATGCCTTTTGGACATAGCCTGTTAATCTATCATAAAAAGACATTCCCTCGGAATGTGACAACTTGATTCATGTGAGATTGCTTATGTGTGCATATAAGGCTTGAATGTGTGAGAGAGATAGAATTTTAAATTTTAATCTATGACATCAAAACATCGCTTTCTATCCTGCTCTAGGAGAATTACTGTGAAAATTCTTTAAAGAATTGAATCTCCTTAACAGAGGACCTCTTATGACTTTGTAGATAAGACACATTGGTCCACGTATAATTTAAATGTGGGAGAAAGAAGCAAAATGGAGCTTTTAGAAATTGGAGGCAATTTTGTCAGCATAGATATCTGTTTAGGGATATGCGACTGAGATGCTTTTAACATCAGTGCTTTTCGGAAAGGAGGATGCTGAGTGCAATATTTCCCTCACACACATACACAATTATTCTAAAGTAATTTGTTCGCTAAGAAATACTGCTTCTATAGAAAGCATAATGTTTGTAGGAATATAATTCTGCAGGCAGGTATAAAAACTCTAAATTTCCACCCAGGCATATAAAGGTAGACCAATCAATTGTTTCCCCAGTTCAATTTATGGTAAACAGGAAAGAAAATACACTTTCCTATAATATGGGTTTTATCACCACCATCATCGGCTGGACAAAGACAGCCAAAGGGCCGAATGTGTCCCACAGGCCATAGGCCTGCTATGGCTGAATTTCAACAGTTAAAAAAAATATGTTCAATCTTGCCTTGTAACACAAAGTAGCCAAATTTGAAGGAGATTCTTCCCTCACAGCTCTGATTTCTGCAGCTGGAACTAGAGCAAAGACATCTTGGACTGAAGTAGCTGTATCTGCCCAGAACTGGTCCCAGAAGGCATCATCTGTGGCCTCTACGGGCTGAAAAACAAATAAAAATCAATTTAGGAATATAAAAGCTATAAAATATTCATTCTGATATTCATTTATGCTCAATATTCATACTGATTGATATTTGATTTGATAAGTATGTCAAGATACCTCAAAGTAACTTCTGTAAATCTTTACTAAAAAAAAGGCTGAACAATATAATATACTATACTGCAGCCTCAAAGCAATCCAACATTCTAGACAGAATAAACATGAATGCATCATTAATACAATAAGCTACTATTGACCAGGAAAAAGTAGAAGCAAAATAATGCAAGGGTGCTAGTAAAAATTAAAAACAAAACTAGGTTAAAAATATCAGCTGTAATTTTTTTAAATGATAGATTTCCTATTAAAGTGACACCCTGGGAAAATTAATGAGAAACAACTTTATATGCATAGAAAGAGCAATATATAATATTCTGCAAATTCACACTCAACTATAATTCAGGGACCACAAAATACGTTCAATTTCTTTTCAATTATACAAAAGGTTGTCATTCTTTATAATAAAACTATGAAGAAGACATTTTGTTACATTGTACAGATCTAGCACTCTAGTCATTATGGTTTAATGGAATGCATCCAATAAGCCAAAATATGAAACATATATTCTTGCTTGATCTTTTTTCCCAGCATGACATAATAAATATGCAACAGCTCTTAACTAACTGCAGTTATTTGAAACAATCATGGCTTTGAATTGTATTTAGGGAAGATGAGTGAGAAGGAAACGTATGTTTGATTAATTTTGTGGCTTACATTTTTCTGAAGTTACACTGCTATAAAGATGAGGGTTGTTTAAAAACAAGGTAAAGCTTGTTTAAGAATTGGCTGTGATGAAGGAAACTGCCTTATCAAATAGGCAATATGTCCTTAAAATAGAAAAGGCAAAAGTAAAAGGAGGTAAGAAAGTATAAACTAGTTGAGCAGGTTTTGTGGCTCTACCAAGTCTGGAGTTGGCCAAGAGGATAATTTTACATACTGAAAAGAAATGTTATCTTCCTGATTTTAAGGAGTGGATTCAAGATACAAGCCAGTTATCAATTTTTGATAAGTATTTAATATTAAAAATGGGAAGATGAAACAATATATGATCTAGATTTAATGACAAATTGAAGGACTCAATCCCATATTGATACTAAGTAGCAATAGCAATTAGATTTATATACTGCTTCGTAATAATTTACAGCACATTTTAAATGGTTTACAAAGTCAGTTTATTGCCCCCAACAATCTGGGTCCTCATTTTACCAACCTCAGAAGGATGGAAGGCTGAGTCAACCTTGAGCTGGTCAAGATCGAACTGCTGGCAGTGGGCAGAGTTAGCCTGCAACATTGCATGCTAACGAGTTGTTTCCCTTTTAATTACTTTTAGCTTATTTTAATTACTATAATATATGAGGGTTTTAAAAAAAATTATATAAGTCCTACCATAATTTTTTTGGTTGGTGTTATAGTTGCTTGCATTTCAAATTTAATTCCTCCTCTTCAAAAGTTTAAAAATAGAAAATCAGGTTTGTCCTGCAGTGACTTTGTTTTCCTGCTGCTCTGCCCCCATCCACAAACTATAAAATAAGTCTCTTTAAATTCCTTACCAGTAGACACTTAGTCACAGGTGATTGCTTTAATACAGGCAGTATTTGCACATTAAGCCATTGGATAATACATGAGAAAGGAGAGGAAGGGTGAGAGATTTGAGATAAGCACAAAAACACACCTGTAAATGAATCAAGTATTTTTATAGGTCATTTGTAAAGCTACAGTATATGATGGTCCAAGAGAACAAAATGGAATGGAATGGAATTCAATGGAATTCAAGTTAGTGGAAGTGGCTCTCAATTTGGTCAAAATAACCACTATACAGTAAGTATTATTACTATAATTGAGGAAAACTATATTCCTTAAATGTATCAATTTCTTGACATATATTCTAACTAACATGTTTTCAAATAACTCTTTTCACTACAACCTTGAAGCAAATTGCAAAATGATAACTTAGTGAGGACAATCTCGAATGACTTAGACATTATTTTACTGGGCAGAAAAGTTTTGTTTGCTGAAGATGGCAATTTCTTCACTGCACAGTCTTTCCTTGGGCATAAGCATTTGTTTTTGATTACAATAAACTGTAAACAATAAAATCACAAATTTTAGGTTCATTTATTTTCCAAGTTCTGATGCAAAAGAAATGGCTGATTAGTTTTTTTTATCAAATTCAATTTGAAATCAACAAGGTGTGCTATTAGAAGGCCAAAAACTGAAAGAGTAAGAAGGAAAATATAGTTGAATTATATGGCCTAGGAAACAGAAATGAAGCAGGAGAACAACTCATTGGTTTCTGCCAATACAGTGATTTTCTTCATTGCTAACACAATCTTCAGACAACCAAACTGACACCTATTTACATCAACAATAAGGTGACCAACTTTTTTACAGTGAAAAGGAGGACACAAATAAATTGAAGAAAAAAATATCGTAAATAAAAGAAACATTTTATTCATTGCAACAATAATACAGACAACTTGCATGTGCAAAGTTTGCCAGCCTGGTATTTTGGCGCGCTCAGCAGCAATTCCTATTGGCTTTCGAAAGCCAATAGTGGGAGTAGCACAGCTCATGCAAAAGTTGAAAAAAAAAACCATCAGAAAAAGGTGCCGGAACGCCGTTCTGAGCGTTCTATGAGGAAAAAAAACCCCTGCAGATTAGTCTTCAAATATTGAAAAGGAGGACATGAAGGAGGACACTTTTTGAGGGAGGACAGAACTTACAAAAGGAGGACTGTCCTCCCTAAAGGAGAACGGTTGATCACCTTATAAACAATATTATTGGCACAAGGCAATGGAAACTGCTGTTATAACAGCAAAAATATGGCTGGTGGCTGACTATACAATGGATTATAAACTGATTTTGTGCAAGTTCCAAGCTAAAAGGGAAAGGGAAAAAAAAAAAAAAAGTTCCATCAAGAACATAAGAAATAGTTTTGAAGTCCTGGACTTCATTGATAGGGAACTAGACGAACTCTGGCATAGAATCAAAGCAGTTGTTAAAGGATGATTGTGAAATGAGATTACCAAAGATCAAGAAACAGGAGAAACCAAACTGGATGTCAGAACAGACTGTGGAAATTGAAGAGAAGGAGGAGCAAAAAAAAATAAAATTTCAGATAAGAACTTTTTAAAAAGCAGAAAGCTATTAGCAGAGACAGGAAACAGTACAATAACATCTGTGAAGACAACAAAAAGAGAAATAGGCATGGAAAAATAAGCATATCTTCCAAAGGTTTGCCAGATTCAAGAGATTCCAACCAGAAATTGGTACAGTAAGCTAAAGCACCCCAAGGGACCGACAGTAATTCATTCAAAGACACTACAGAAGTCAACATCCAATAAACCTTAGAAGATTATACCAAAAGATGAGTCAAATCATGATCAAGAATTTTTAATATTGTATTTTACTTAGAAAACAATACCATAGTCTAGGACAGCGGTTCTCAACCTATGGGTCGCGACCCCATTTGGGGTCGATCGACCATTTCTCGGGGGTCGCCAAACAAGGCGATCCACCATTTTTCCCCCTCGGGGGGCGCCGCGCATGGGGGCGCCGTGCATGGGGGGCGCCACGCATGGGGCGGTGCGCGTGGCGCCACGACGCACATGGGGGGCGGCGCACATGGGGGCGCCGCCGCACATGCGCGGCACATTTGTGTAACGGGGGTCGCCGTCACACAAACGTTGAGAAGCACTGGTCTAGGAACTATCAAGGAGACAAACAATCAAGCAGATAAACAATTAAGCAGAAAATAATACCTTAATTAAGGAATTGCCAAAGAGAAAACCACATCCCTATCAATAGTGATAAGGCAAACTATTAAATATAAACAGGGAATAAATGCCATATTCAGTAGCACTGATGATGTTACCAAATGGTGTAATGAAATGTCTGCAAGAAACAACCAAACTCAGACAGTACCAGCTACTGCAAACATCATACCCTTTGCTGTGCTGATGGCACTACTCTGATAGAAGATTAAGAACCAAGAAGTCAAACAAAATTCAAGAGGTACAATAACTAGCCTTGAAATTAACAATGAAGACATTAAAGGAGTAAATAGTTTCTGTCTTTTAGGATTGATTATTGACAATAAAGGAACCAGCCGTGAAAAAATGCACCGTGCAAACTAATACTTGGTAGATTTGCAATAACAGCCTTGAAAAGATACTCAGATATTTCCATAAATGCAAACATCAAAAACATGCAGGAAATGTCCTTGTGATGTTGTAAGGAAATGAAAGCTGGACTTTGATGAGGCAGGATGGAAAAGATGCTTTTGAACTCTTAGAACAAATCAATCCACAGTTCTCAGAGGAATAAAAAAAAGGTTCAAATTACCATGTCTGGGATAATTATGTGAAGACCATATCCGTAATGCTGGGAAAGATAAATGGAAAAAGATGACCAGCAGCAAGCTGAATGGACTCAATTACAATGGCAATGAATGCATTGTTAGAAGGCCTGAAGGGTTACGTTAGAGAGGACAAATCATCCAAAAATGTACCTGGTTGCTAGGATTCATGCCAACCTAATGGCAGATAATCCCTCACCAAAGCCAGCTGAGCCAGGAACCTATCTCTAAATTACATGGAACAAAATACACAGCTACAGCTGTTGGATCTAAAGCCTCCATTCAATGAAACTATAGAAGATACAGGAAACATACTTTATATATCTGTGGAAAATGAAAATGAAGAAATGTTTTGGATTTCAGTTTAGATTCATATTAACTTTAGGTCTAGTTAAAGCAGACATGTTTTTTTTTTAGACCTACATGTGATTCAGAAAAAAAGGTCAATCTGCTTCCATGAATAGCAGACAGGTGTATTCTACGTGAGCTAAAATGCTTCTTCAGAAACATTTTCAAAACACTAATAATGTACCGTATATCACAATCCTATATGTGTCTACTCAAAGCCTAATGAAGTTATTTCTAG